ACGACGGCTACCGCGACAACCCCAACTAGCGTACCACTCACTAAGCTGCTGGGGCGTGCGAGACTCGCGCGGACGTCGCTGGAGCTGCATCTGGCCACCGCCAGTAGCAGCAGTAGCAGTAGTAGTAGCAATAGCAGCAGTAACAGCAGTAGCAGCAGTAGCAGGCGCGGCAGGCAGGCAGGCAGGCCGGCAGGCAGGCAGGCAGGCGGCAGCGCATGAACAAGGTAGGTGCTCACCAGTGGCAGGCAGGGCCGGCGCTCGGCGGGGCCGCAACAGCGGCCGCAGAGTAGGGCCGCGGCAGCTGTAGGGCGGGGTCGCGCCAGCAGCAGGTCAGGGCCGCATCAGCGTCCAGTCGGGGCCGCGTCAGCGGCAGGGCGCGGCCGCTGCAGCTGCAGGGCCGGGTCGCGCCAGTGGCAGGTCGGGGGCCGCGGCAACTGCAGGGCTGGCGGGGCCGCGTCGGCGTCCGGGCTGGGCCGCGTCGACGGCAGGGCGCGGCCGCGTCAGCTGCAGGGCCGGCGGGGCCGCGTCAGCAGCAGGGTCCAGCCGCGGCAGAGGCAGGGCGGGCCGCGACCGCGGCCTGACGGGCCTGACGGGCCTGGAGAGGCTGCGCGCGGGCAGCAATGGCCTGCAGGGGCGGCGCGCGGTCGGGCAGCGGCTGCGAGCTGGCGGCGAGGGCCCGCAGGGGCGGCAGACGGTCGGGCAGAGGCCGCGCGCGGGCGGCGAGAGCCTGCAGGGGCGGCGCGCGGTCGCGCAGAGGCTGCGCGCGGGCGGCGAGGGCCTGCAGGGGCGGCTCACGGTCGGGCAGAGGCCGCGCGCGGGCGGCGAGGGCCTGGAGGGGCGGCGCGCGGTCGGGCAGAGGCTGCGCGCGGGCGGCGAGGGCTTGCAGGGGCGGCGCGCAGTCAGGCAGAGGCCGTGCGCGGGCGGCAAAGGGCCTGCAGGGGCAGCGCGCCGGCCTGACGGGCCTGCAGGGGCAGCGCGCCGGCCTGACGGGCCTGCAGAGGCGGCTCGCGGGCCTGACGGGCCTGCAGGGGCGGCTCGGGGGGGGGCGGACGGGCCTGCAGGGGCTGCTCAGGGGCCTGACGGGCCTGCAGGGGCGGCTCAGGGGCCTGACGAGCCTGCAGAGGCGGCTCGGGGGCCTGACGGGCCTGCAGGGGCGGCTCGGGAGCCTTACTAGCCTGCAGGGGCGGCGCTCTGACCTAGGGCAGCAGGAGGCAGCACGAGGGCTGCAGGACGGCGCGCGCAGCGCAGCACGTCACGAGGCAAGGCAGGCAGGCACAGGACAACACGTGGGGTAGCGCGGTAACCGCAACGGTAGGTGGGCCCGAAAAAAAAAACGGTCCTACGGACCTAGTGCTCTGAAACCATGTCAGAATCAAGCAGCAGGGATGATTGAACTATGAAAGAGTTGGGTACAAATATGAAACCCTAAAGTGGGCGGTACACCATATTGGCTACCCCACTACAGCCTAAACATATATAGTAGATATAACATTTGACACTGCGGAGCGGAGAGGGACGGAGAGGGTTGGAGGAGAGAAGGTGATACGTCTGGAATGGGAGTAAGGGACGTGATGGAATGGATTTGGATTGGAGTTGTCAAATACGATGTTGTGGGATCCGCTTTATGACCAATCAGCACCTGTTCTAAGAATCTTATATCCGAAGCATGGTGGAACTTAAAAAGCGTGCGGGTCTCGAAGCCAAGGAGAGCAAGTGCAGAGCAGAGAGCGCATAGCAGAGCACAACTCACAGAGAAGGAGAGGACGAGCGAGAGGAGCCTCTTGCTGGCCATGGCGCAGCACAGCAGCGCCCACCCACTGCCATAGCTCCTCGCGTTCTTCCAGTGCTGCCCGGCTGGCGTGAAATAAGGGTCCGCAAATTTCACGGGCAGGTCTTTGCGCGCTGTGGGCTGCTCTTTGGCGGCGAGATACCATGGAGTAATTTGTCTGCCCTGGACAAGGGGAGTCTCAGGGTGGGAGGAGCCGGGCGGCAGCAGCAGGTAGCGGAAAACTTTGTGCCAGAGGTACTCCGGCAGTATGTCTATTGTATCACTGGGGGTGGCGGCTGGAAGGAGAAACGGGTGATTGATATGGGTGGCATGGGTGACATGGGTGAGAAACGAAGGGGGTTGATGGGGTGGGAGGAGCTGAGCGGCAGCAGCAGGTAGCGGAAAACTTTGTGCCAGAGGTACTCTTGGAGCATGTCTATTGGATCACTGGGGGTGGCGGCTGGAAGGAGAAACGGGTGATTGCTATAGGTGGCATGGGTGAGAAGGGAAGGGGATTGATGGGGTGGGGGGAGCCGGGCGGCAGCAGCAGGTAGAGGAAGGCTTTGTGCCAGAGGTACTCCGGCAGTATGTCTATGGGATCACTGGGGGTGGCGGCTGGAAGGAGGGATGGGTGAGATGCGTGATATGGGTGATATGGATGAGATGGGTGGGAAGGGGATTGATGAGAGAAAGCAAAAGGGGAAATATTTGGAAGGGTGCTGTTTTTGTCGCTCGTTTCCTTCGTGGCTGTGGTTTCAAGCCTTGAAAACACGTCTGGACAGCAAGAGCACTCCAAAAGCTTTTGAAATGGAGCTGTTTTTGAGTTTGTTTTTGAGCCGCCTAAAAACGAGCGGTTTTCTCTGAGTTCTCCGTTCGAGCACCTCCGTTCAAGCTCGGAAAGTTCTCCGTTTGAGAAGCTCTCCTAAAGCCCACCTCACCAACGCTAAAATGACTCCATGATGCAAAGAATGAGAATGACGTAGCGGAGTTGCGAGTTTCTATACTCTACTCTACGATCTAACTTTCTGTGAGTTTTTCCAGTACGAGTGACAGAGAAAACAGACACAAAACGACGGAAAAAGTGGTGCGAGATGGAACGGATAGGAATTAACGGTGAGTGGAGCATGGACTGGATCCAAATGAGAAGGAAAACCACTGAATGAGGTGCGAGCTGATTGTTTCGCAGTGCTCGTATAGCTCGCAAGGAAGAAGAAGCAGGAGGAAAATAGGACGGAGAGAACAGAAGGAGATGGAGGGTAGAGGAACTAACTGACACGGAATGCCCAGGAGAGTTTACACAAACTGTCAAAAGTTTTTTTAGATAAGTTATCAAAGCAGGGAGGTGAAAACCATGTGCTTTTTGTTTAAAGCGTGAAGATGAGGTGAACGATGGGTTTCTGCGTCGTGAGCCCTTGCTTTCTGAGTCAGCATTGTTCTTCTGTCTCTTCTCCTCCCGTCGCTCGGCGCGCTCTCTCAGTTCGCCAGTAGGCTGTAGCGCTGCCATGGAAAATTAAGTTTCTTAAGCTCCCGCTTCGCTTGTGGTAATCATGTACTTATTAAAAAAGGTGCTATGTACTCAACGAAAGAACCATGCATTTGCAGTCGTCACTTGAACTCGAGCGCACTTGTCGCGACTATGGTGCCTATGTATGCGGCTAATCAATGGCTCTGGCCCATTGTCCAACACTGAAAATGGGATGGGACGCGCCCATATGAAGAGGTCTGAGGTCACCCCACCTTCATTCATTTGACACTGACATACCCTTTGAAGGGGTTCATTCTGGTGCGCAATGGTCTGAAACGGTGAACCACTTGGAAAAATGAACGAGTCGCCCACACAACTCAACGGTCAACTCTGCAATGCCCACTTTTGCGCAGCGTCTCAGTACGCTGTGCAAGTCTTCGCGAAATACTCCGCGAAATACTTGAACGTATCCCACAACGCGAAAATCTATACCGGTATTGTGTCTACAGTACAATCATAATATACTCCAACAAAGTTAGCAATGCAACCAATGAGGTTCCTCATAATGTTCTAGCACTACTGGACATACCCTGCTGCACGGCCCTCCCTCTCCTCCACCACCCTCACCACCTCAATCGCACAGCGCTAGAGCCACTTTCAGCATAAAAAAACCCACTGCTTCACCACCAATCTTCATCCCTCATCCCCATTAGCCATTCCCTGAGTGCTCCGCTCCCATCTCCCCCCCTCTCCTCCCTGATTGCCCTTCAACCCCCACACCAGGCACCAAGAACCAAGCCACCTTCATCCCATTATAGTCACATTGTCACACGCTCCAACACTCGCCCCTCCAATCATCCTTCCCTATCACTGCTGCAGTTCATTCACATACCCATCAACACGGCCCTCCCTCCCCCCCCCTCTCTTTCTCAACCCTGTTACCCATTCCCTGTGTACTCAAGACCTTACCCTGCCCTGCTTCTCCTTCACCCCCCCCTGTTCGCCCTTCCGCAGGAGTCTCACCAGGCACCAGGCGCCATGAACCAGGGCACCTGCAGCCCCTTATAGTCACACCGCAGTGCCAGGAACCCCGACCCGCGATCCTTTCACAGTGACGATACCTTGTGAACGGCGGGGGAAACCAGCGAAAACGCCCTGCTACCACCGCTGCTACCACCGCTGCTACCACCGCTGCTACCACCGCTGCTACCACCGCTGCTACCACCGCTGCTACCACCGCTGCTACCACCGCTGCTACCACCGCTGCTACCACCGCTGCTACCACCGCTGCTACCACCGCTGCTACCACCGCTGCTACCACCGCTGCTACCACCGTTGCTACCACCGCTGCTACCACCGCTGCTACACCACTCCCACCACCACTGCTGCCACTGCTGCCCTGGCCCATCCCATCCAGCAGCACCCCCTCCGCACACGCCACCAGTACCAGCACGTCACACTCGGGGAAATTTGCAAGCTTCTCGGGCGTGATCCGCCACCTGATCGCAATCACGTACGCCTTCTTCCCCGCGGCTACCGTAACGGACCGGAGAGCGGTGACAGCACCCGGTAGTCCCGCGTAGTTAGTTATCATGCATTATTCTTCCACACCACTCCCTTCTTCACCATATCAAATACATCTGTTGACATGTCTGCAAATACGAATGCTAGAGGCGGTCCGAGCTGTCTTCGGTCTTCCACAGGCTCCCTTTGTACTTCCACATATAAGCCTCTTCTTTATCAACACTGTACCCATCAAACAGCTCTCTATTCACACTGTGCATCTTCTCCCGCACGTTCTTCGGCCGCTTCTCCGCAAAGCAAGCACATGGCACCCCGCTTCTCGCCTTCCTCACGTGCACCACAGGGGTCTCGGGCAAGTCCTTTCTTTGCTTCTCCCAGTAGAACGAGCGACGTGAGATGCAGTACAGGGCGAGGGAGGGACAGAATTCACGTAGGGAAGCGAGGGTTTGTTGCTCGCATGTGTGGGTGGGGAAGAAGATTGCTCGCAGGTTTGGAGCCAAGATAAACGGAGGCCTTCCCGCTTGCTGCTGCTCCTCCTGCTCCCCCTCCTCCTCCTCCTCCTCCCCCTGCTGCTGCTGCTGCTGCTGCTGCTGCAAAACCTGCAAAAGCTGCTGCTGCTGCTGCTGCTGCTGTTCCTGCTGCTCCCGCAAAAGCTGCTGCTGCTGCTGCTGCCGCTGCCGCTGCGGCTTCTGCTGCCGCTGCAGCTGCTGCGGCTGCTGCTGCTGCTGCTGCTGCCACTGCTGTTGCTGCTGCTGCAGCTGCAAAATCCGCTGCTGCAAAAGACGCTGCTCCTGCTGCTGCTGCTGCCGCTTCTGCTGCCTCTGCTGCTGCAAGAGCCTCCCATCGCGCTCCTGAATTTCCTCCACTGTAACCTCCCTCTCACCATCATCCCGACGCTCGTCAACCTTCAAATCCACCTCAGACCGCTCCTCTCTCTCCACGACAATCCCAAGGCTGCGCAGGCTGCTCCACTCCGCATCAACCCCCTCTACAGGCACCCCATGCCTCACTATAAGCACCTCCACTGTTGGCGCTATTGTTCGCAGCCACTCAACCCAGGAGAACTCAGCAGAGCTGTGGCGGGGCATGCTCTGCCTGTCAGGAGAGAGTTCAGGTGAAATTTCAGACGAAAATTCATAGGAGCCCGGGTAGAAAGAGTAGGGGTTATAAGAGTACTGGTCATCGTGGGAGTGGTGGTCTTTGGGAGGGCCGTTGAGATAGGCCACTCGTACGGAAGCGAGGCGGAGGGAGGAGATGACAAGCCGCTGCTGGCCATACAGCGAGAGGTGGTGGAGAGCGAGAGGTTCGGTGGTCTTGCACGAGAGCACGAGCCTCTTTGCCATGGCTGAGAAGGTCTTGAGCGAGCTAGAGAGGGTGAGGACGAGCTTGAGACTGCCCTGGGGGAAGTAAAAGCGGACGGTTTGAGCTTTCGATAAGTCGAAACGGAACGTGCCGCCGCCACCGGGGCCTGGGGATGGGTCCTCCAAATTCCAGCTATGATAGAGAGTAAATTCCGTCAGACGCGGTGTGACCGAGCCCAAATACTTAACATCCGCGAATTCCCAATCCACGTGTTTGAGAGTCAAACAGCGCAGCGACTTGAACCCCTCAGCCCAGCCGTGCTGCAGGTTCCACCTGCCCCGGCCGAGCTTCAGCCGCTGCAGAGCCGGGCAGTCCAAGGTGCGGGTCCAGGAATTCCAGTCCACTGGGTCCTCGGAATTCAGGTAGGCTTTGTCGACAGTGCTGCGCAGCTTGAGAGTGAGCGAGGTGAGGGAGGCGAAGGGCCGGTTCAGCGGCGAGCGAAGTTTGTCGAGCTGCTTGAAGTGCGTGAAGGTGAGCGCGAGGGACCTGAGGCTGCGGCGCCAGCGCAGGAAGAAAGTGACGCTTTTGATCCACTGCGGGTGCAGCTCGTTGTAGACCAGCGCGATGGGGTGGTGGGCCTGCAGAGAGGGAGGAACGGGCGAAGGAATGGAGGCGCCGGAAGCATGGTGGAACTTAAAAGAGCATGAGTCTCGAAGTAAAGGAGAGCAAGCGCAGAGCAGCGCAAATGCCGTGAAGAGCAGAGCAGTGCATGACTCACGGAGAAGGAGAGCACGTGGTAGAGGAGCCTCTTGCTGGCCATGGCACAGCACAGCAGCGCCCACCCACTGCCATAGCTCCTCGCGTTCTTCCAGTGCTGCCCGGCTGCTGAACAATTAGGGTCCGCAAATTTCACGGGCAGGTTTTTGCACGCTGTGGGTTGCTCTGTGGCAGAGAGATACCATGGGGTAGTTTGTCTGCCCCGGACGAGGGGAGTCTCAGGGTGGGAGGAGCCTGGCGGAAGCAGCAGGTAGAGAAAGACTTTGTGCCAGAGGTTCGCCGGCAGCATGTCTATGTAATCACTGGGGGTGGCGGCTGGAAGGAGGGATGGGTGAGATGGGTGATATGGGTGATGAGGGAAATAATATGAGTTTATTCGTTGTTCGATTTCGTAGCGGCTGTGATTTCAAGCCTTGCAAACGGTATGTATGGCAAAAGCACTCGCGAAGGGCTGTGGAATGGAACTGTTTTTAATAGATTATTGAGCCGCCTAATAAATGAGTTTTTTTTTTTTTTTTTTTTTTTTCCGAGTTCTCCGTGCATCTCCTTTAAAGCACGTGTGTTCGAGCACTTATCGTAGGGCCCCACCCACCCCACCTCACTAAAACGACTCCATGGTGCAAAGAATGAGAATGACGAATTCGAGATGCGAGATTATCTACCCGACGATCTAATCTTCTGATATTTTTCCCCAGTATAAGAGACAGAGAGGAGGAGAAAGATGAAACGACGTAAAAAATGGTGCAGGGTGAAACGGTTAGGCATTGAACTGGGATTGGCACTGAATGAGGTGCTAGGTAGTTGTTTCTCAGTGCGCGTAAACCTCGTGAGGAAGCAAAAAAAAGAGCGGAGATTAACAGAGGGAGGGGAGAATAGGAGGTGGAGGGGAGAGGAACTAGTGTCAAGTCAAGGATTGCCTGGAAGAGTTCACTGAAACTCTCAAATCTTTATTTGAGATATATCTAAGCAGGAGGTTGAAATTTAGGTGCTTCTCGTTCGGAATGTGAAGGTGAAAAGTGGGATGCTGCGTCGATAAACAATAGCAGCCCTTGCCTTCCGTGTCAGCATTGTTCTTCTGTCTCTTCTTCTCCCGTCGCTCGGCGCGCTCTCTCAGTTCGCCAGTAGGCCGCAGCGATGCCATGGAAAATGAAGTATACGCGCTCTCCCACGTCGCCAGTGGTAATCACGCAATTCATAAATAGACGCTACGTATTCATCACAAAAATCATGAAGATCCACTCGTCATTTAGACTCGAGCGCACTTGCCATCACGACCATATGTGCCTGGAATTCAGTCGCTGGCTGTTCAAATGGCTGCTCTGTCCCATTGTCAACACTGAGAATGTGACATGCTCGGGGGGGGGGTGTCATTTTCGTTCCCTTTGTACTGCACAAAAGTTGCTGCCTCGACGAGCAAATCTGGAATCTTGTGTTGTGTGGGAAGTCACCTAGTGTGGACAATAGTTGACAAGGGTGGGTGAGGTGGGTTAGAGAGCGATTGCCCGAGTTGACAAGGAGCTGGGGTGCGGAGTGGAGGGATGGAGCGAAGTTGACGCGACAAGATCGAGGGAGAGGTTGAACGATTTCGATACAAGGGTGTGCGTTGAGAAGAGCGCCACAATCTTATACACGTCATGTCACTCATACGTATCTAAATCAATCGCATTATGTTGTAGAAAATTTGCAGGTTAACTACGTTTTTCAAACCGCAGGTATGACTAAAAGTTCCCACTTTTTTCATAACAACAAACAAGACTCTTCATTACTCCCCCGCCCCCTGCTTCTCCTTCACCCGACCCTGCCCAGCCTTCCCAGGGCAAGCACCAACCAACACTCGCCCCTCCTACCAACTGGCAACCATCCTTCCCTATCCCTGCTGCGGCTCATCCCCATACCCGGCAGCACGGCCCTCCCTCCCCTCCACCACCCTCACAGCATCAATAGCCGGAGCCACTCTCGGCATGAAAGCACCCACCGCTCCCCCATCCTCCCTTCCGCCCTCATGCCCTCTCCTTCTTGCATCCCCTCCCGCTTCCCCGGGCGTCCCACCAGGAGCCATGAACCAGGGCACCTCCAGCCCCTTATAGTCACGCCGCAGAGCCAGGAACTCCGATCCTGATCGCGCCTCCACTGCCGCTGACGTGGCGTACCCTGATTGGCCAGACGCCCGAGCCAGGGCCAAGGAGTCAGTCGAAACGGGCAAAGCAGAAAGAGCCATGTCCTGCCGGACGGTCAAAGATTGATCCGATGCTGCTGCTGCTGATGGTGCTGCTGGCGATGTTACTTTGTGAGAGGCGGGGAAAACCAGTGATCCTTTCACGAACGAGAACCGAGGAGCCGCATCCTCCCCACCTTCCCCACCTTCCTCTCCCTTCCTCACCGCTCCCACCCCAGCACCATCCAGCAGCATCCGATACTCCCCCGTCCACTCCCGCCCCTCTTCCAGAGCCATCATCGCCTCAAACGGCGTCACCACCGGCGCGTAAAACGCCCTGCTGCCACCGCTGCTGCCACTTGCCCCCTCCACCATACCCTCCAGCAGCACGCCCTCCGCACACGCCACGAGCACCAGCACGTCACACTCGGGGAAATTCGCGAGCTTTTCCGGCGTAATCCGCCTCCGGATCGCAATCACATACGCCTTCTTCCCTGCAGCCACCGCTGCGGATCGAAGCCTAGCAACGGTAGCGCGGGTGGAGGTGGCAGCAGCGCCGGCAGACTGGGAGATAACTACAATGCCGATGATTGACGCGTCTTTGGTCTTCTCCACGAGGAAGTAGCGCCGGCGCAGCAGGCGGGAGTGGTCCACCGGGTGGAAGAGCGGGGCGGTGTGGGCGGAATCAGGGGTAGAGGAAGGAGAAGGGCTCTCGCTGGTGGTGCTGGTGGTGAGAGTTCTGGTGTTACTGCTGCAGGCGGTGGTGCGGCTGTCAATAGTAGCAGCAGCAGCAGCAGGAGATAGGTGGGTGGGGTCGAGTCTGAGAATGGGTGTTTGGTTGTGCTCGAGGGCGAGAGTGATGAGAGATGGGCATTCGTCACTGCTGCCCACCCACACCACCGCTGTCACCCCCACTGTCGCCGGTGCTGTTGCAGCTGATGGTGCTTCTGCTCCCGATTGGTTAATTGGGTTGCTGCTTTTGGCAGTTTCTGCAGCCATGCTCGACATGGGCGGCAGCACCCACCGCAGGCCGCCGTGTTCGAAGAGAGTGCCAGGGGCAGCACACTGGGCGGCACACTGGGCGGCAGAAGAATGGATACTGGCAGCGACTGAAGCTGCAGTACCACCATCAGCAGCAGCAGCAGCAGCAGCATTGGAGGAAATATCTTCACCACAACAAGAGATATTTCCGCACGTGCCCCTGTCTGTCGCTCCCCCGCAGCACGCGCTTCTGTCAGTCTCCTCTCTGGCACCGCCGTTACAGCACCCGCCACTCACGGCGCGACACGTGTCAGCACCGCCACTCTTCCCCCCTTCCTCCGGTTCCACCTCCCGCTCGCGCACCTGCGCCACCACGTACCGCACTTCTTCCCCCTCCCCCGCCCCTTCCCTCTCTGCCTCCGCCGCTTCCGCTCCGCCGCTTTCCCCCAGAGCGAGCGCAAATTCGTCCGCGGCGTGCGCGAACTCGAGCGCGAACAGCACCAGCACCACGCGGGGGGGCGCGCGCGGGGGGGAATCTCCGCTATCGGCGCCGGTACTTGCGGGGGTGTTGCTATTGGTGGTGGTGGTGCTGCTGCTGCTGCCGCCGCCGGTGCTGCTCTTGAAGTGTGCTTTTATTGCCGCAGCACACGCCGCCACGTCGATGGGCTGACGTGGCAGCACGTACCGCACAGGGAACCGCGCCGGGCGGCGCGACATGCACGCGTGGCCGTAGTGGATGATACATTCAGCGCTGACGTGGCACGGCGACACCTCATCCACGCAGCAGCTGCTGCACGTGGCGGTCGCCGCGTCAGCCAGCACATAGAAATGCGGCACGTCCCGACGCGGAGGATCCGCCGCATCTCCCGCCTGCTTCTCTCCTTGACCCTCCGTAAAACCCGGAAACCCAGACCCGTGCAGTTTTCTCCCGGGCGGGTCGCTCGATCTCAAGGAGTCTTGATCTTGAAGTGCTTCAACAGAAATTTCAGGAGTGGTTTCAGGGGAAGTCTCAGGTAGCGTTTTGGTCTCATTTTCCCCACTACAAGCTGCGTGATGCTGGCTGTTGATAAGCGCGGCGCATTCGGCTCTTAACGCGTCGTGGACGGAGACGGCGTGCGGGAGGAGCGAGTCGGGGAACTGAAGGCACACGCGCGAGAAGCCACGTGTCACGATGTAACTTGCTGTCTGCTGGATCTCGAACGCCTCCCTCACCTCCATCGCGGTCAGCCGTTCTTTTGTGAATGTGGCCAGTTATGGCACTTGTCAATTAAACAACTATGAACAATAAAATTTACGGTTTTTTAGTTTACATGGGGGTGTAGCTCACATGGTAGAGCGATCGCTTCGCATGCGATAGGTAAGGGGATCGATACCCCTCACCTCCACATCCAGCTTATGTTTACATCGCTTCCTTTAGCTACGGCGTTAGCGGCATGTGAACCTTTTTAGATCGTAGCTCTCGTGTCGTCGTCAATTCTAGTAGAAAGACCTGAGCGCGCCTTTCACGAGCCCCTTTTTCGCGGCTCCGTGGTGACTTTTAATCACGACTTACACCGTTCTTAGACCATTCTCGACTCGCCACCTCTACTGGTCACTCTCCCAGCCTCATTACTATCTCATTCCATCCTCCCACGCGTCTCTATTGTCGCCAATGCTCCGCCTTACTGCATCGAGGGCGGTTGTTCGATTCCCAGCCACGTCGCGTGCTTTCGTCATTTCCGCTAGAGTCACACCTCGCGCTTTCGTCACCTCTGCTGCGGCCACATCGCGCGCATTAGTCACACCCGCTAAAGTCACATCTCTGTCCTCGTGCCTCCAACTCTGCAACCCGCTCGTTCCGAGAGACGGGCGATTCGCGGCGCCCCGCCAACGGGAGTCCTCTAACGCGCCGCCGCGACAGCCGCTGGTACGACGAGTCGCGTCCTGGTAGTCGAGCCGCTTGCTGCTGCTCACGTGACCTCGAGATTTGACCTGACTAGCATTTTCTCTTGAAAAAACCCTTTCCCCCGCTCCTCCTGCTTGGCGGAAGGACACGCTTGAGGGGCAGGCCAACCCTTCCCCAACTCCTTCCCCTTTCCCCTTTCCCCCTTCCCCCTTCCCGCTTCCCCCTTCCCCCTTGCCCTTTTCCCCTTTCCCTTTCCCCCTTCTCTCCTCCCACCCTTCCCCCGTCTTCATCCCCTTCATTCTCTCTCTTCCCACCCCGTCCCCCTCCTCCTCCTCCCTCTCCCCCCATGCCAGCGTGTGTTCTGCTCATGCAAGAAAAAGAACACGCGGAACATTGGGGGGCGGCCCAACACTACCACCCCTTTATCTGATCTCCTTATCCCTCTCCCCTATCCCTTCCTCCCTCTCCCCGCGTGGCAGCGTGTGTTCTGCTCATGGAAGAAGAAAGACACGCGGAACATCGGGGGGCGCGCCAATGCTCTCATTGCTGCTGTGAGTGTGTGTGTGCATGCACGGCACGGGCACACATGCCCTCCCTCACTCCCACCCTCACTATCTCGTTCAACCAACTTGATCAGTCAGTCAGTCATGTATTCACACCCTCACGCACCGCACTTTCCCTCCCACCAATCCACGCACTCGCCCACTTCTCCCCCCACTTATTCCCCCACTCACAGCTCTCTGCTTTTCACACTCGTATTCGTGCAATCTGTCCTTTTTGTTCGTACTCGTTACTCCCATCTTCCTTTCACACCAATTACCGCCCCATCCAACTCCCTTCCTTCTGTACTCCTTATTGTCAGATCCGTGACGTGCCAGACAGCAAGGAGGACGTGTACAGAGCTCTCGACGCATGGGCGGCCTTCCAGCTCGACTTCCCCCTGCTGGCTGTGAAGCGAGCTCTTAGGATGATGCAGCAGGAGGGCCAGTGGAAGCGAATACTGCAGGTGAGGGGGAGAGGGTGACATAGTTAGATGCTATGGCAACATTGCTAATGAGCTCTCGACGCATGGGCATGGGCCGCCTTCCAGCTCGACTTCCCTCTGCTGGCCGTGAAACGCGCGCAGAGAATCATGCAGCAAGAGGGCCGGTGGAAGCGGGTACTGCAGGTGAGGGGGAGAGGTCGGAGGCAAATTAGGCAGGGAGAGGAGAGCAATGGCTCTCGACGCATGGGCCGCCTTCCAGCTAGACTTCACCCTGCTTACTGTGAAACGCGCTCTGAGAATCATGCAGCAGGGGGGCGAGTGGAAGAGAATACTGCAGGTGAGGGGGAGAGAGAGTAGCACAGATGGATACTGTGTGGCAAAGCTATTCGGAACAGGGAGAGAGGAGTGGCGCTGGACGCATGAGCAGCCTTCCAGCTCAGATTCCCCCTCCCTAAACCCGAAGCCCAGGTGTGCAAGTGGATGCTGACAAGAGGGCAGGGCAGAACATTCGGCACATACGACCTAATGATGGAGGCCATGGCTGCCACGGGGCGACACGCTGAGCTGGGATCCTTGCACCTCCCATCCACACCTCCCGCCCACAACCCCATACCCTAAACGCAGGTGTGCAAGTGGATGCTGGCAAGAGGGCAGGGCAGAACATTCGGCACATACGATCTCATGATGGAGGCCATGGCTGCCACGGGGCGACACGCTGAGCTGCGTCTATTTCCCTCTTCCCCATAAACCCCAACCCCAAGCGCAGGTGTGCAAGTGGATGCTGGCGAGGGGGCAAGGGCGGACGTTTGGCACGTATGATTTGATGATGGAGGCCATGGCTGCCACGGGGCGGCACGCTGAGCTGGACGGCACGTGGGAGCGAATAATGGGCCGCCATCTGGACACGGTGCCGCGTGCCACGTTTGCACGAGTGATGAGCCTGTACATGCAACAGGGACGGCCGCTCAAAGTGCTCGAGGTACGGTTCTTTGCGGTTCTGTGCGGTCGTGTGCATGTAGGTATGTGCACCACATTTGCACGCGCGACGAGCCTGTACACGCAGCAGCAGGGACGGCCCCTCAAGGTGCTCGTGGTACGTCTGTGCCGTTCAGTGCAGTTTGTAGCGGTTTTGTGCGGTTATGTGCGGTTCTGTCAGGTGCTGTGCGTTTCTGCTATGTTCTGTCCTGTGCGATGTGCGGTCGGTGCATGCAATGCAGGTACGTATGGCTATATGTTGTTGCCATGCGTGAAGCCTGAGCAAAATACTGGTGATGTAACCAGGTGCTTTATCTATTCATGCTTGCAGGTGTACGGCAGCATGATAGAGCTGGGTGTGAATCTGGATGAGGGCATGGTGATGCAGGTGCACAGGGCGTTGATTAACATCGGGGCGGAGCAGAGAGCAGAGGCGCTGCTGCAGGAGCACCAGAGCGTTTTGACTCCACCAGTTGGGAAGGCTGTTAGGGCTGAGAAAGCCTTCAGTAGTGCTAAAACATTATGAGGAACTTCATTGGTTCTGTTGCTAACTTGTAATTTGTTATGCTTTTACTGAAGACACAATAAACAAGTTTTGCACCTGTGAGATACGTTTCCATTGCCATCAAGTATTCCGCGATGTTTTGCGAGTTTATCGAGGCCTGACCAAAAGCGGGCGTTGCGGAGTTGTTGACTGTTGAGTTGCGTGGGCGACTCGTAGTTTGTCATTTTCATCAACGGTTCACCGTTTCATACCATTGTGGAACAGAAAATGAACCTCTTCGAATCGAAGTGAAATGCGAAACGAACGAAAGTGAGGTGACCCGCTTCGAATGGGCATTGTCAGTGCTGCATATTAGTAGGCCAGACCTGGTTCACAGACATCATCAACACTAGGCGGCTAGGTAGGAACCATAGCCGCGACAGGTGCGGTAGAGTTCAAGTGACGAGTGCAAATGCATGATTCTTGTGTTGAATACATACGGTAGCCTCTATTTAAGGAGTACACGATTACCACTTGCGAAGCGGGAGACTTCGTTTTCCATGGCAGCGCTGCAGCCTACTGGCGAAGTGAGAGAGCGCGCCGAGCGACGGGAGGAGAAGAGACAGAAGAACCATGCTGACCCGGAAGGCAAGGGCTCGCGACGCAGCAACCCATTGTTCACCTCATCTTCACACTTCAAACATTTAACGCATTTGACAGTTTGTGTAAACTCTCCTGGGCATTCCGTGTCAGTTAGTTCCTCTACCCTCCACCTCCTCCTGTTCTCTCTGTCCTATTTCCCTCCTGATTTTTCTTCTTCGCGAGCTATACGCGCACCTCATTCAGTGGTTTTCCTCCTCATTTGGATCCAGTCCATGCTCCAATCACCGTTAATTTCTATTCGTTCCATCTCGCACCACTTTTTCCGTCGTTCCCTCTCTGTTTTTCCCTGTCGTAAAGTAGATATAGAGACTCGCAACTCCGCTACGTCATTCTCATTCTTTGCATCACGGAGTCATTTTAGCGTGGGTGAGGTGGGCATTAGGAGAGCTGCTCGAACGGAGAACTTTCCGAGCTTAAACGGAGGTGCTTGAACGGAGAACTCTGAGAAAACCGCTCGTTTTTAGGCGCCTCAAAAACAAACGCAAAAACAGCTCCATTTCAAAAACTTTTGAGAGTGCTCTCGCCATCCAGACGTGTTTTCAAGGCTTAAAGTCAAAGCCGCGAAGGAAACGAGCGACAAAAACAGCACCATTCCAAATAATTCCCCTTTTGCTTTCTCCCATCAATCCCCGTTCCACCCATCTCATCCATCTCACCTATCTCACGCATCTCACGCATCTCACGCATCTCTCCTTCCAGACGCCATCTTCAGGTGATCCCATAGACATGCTGCCGGAGCACCTCTGGCACAAAGCCTTCCTCTACCTGCTGCTGCCACCCGGCTCCTCCCACCCCATCAATCCCCTTCCCTTCTCACCCATGTCACCCATGCCACCCATATCAATCACCCGTTTCTCCTTCCAGCCGCCACCCCCAGTGATCCAATAGACATGCTGCCGGAGTACCTCTGGCACGGAGGTTACAGTGGAGGAGTTTCTGCTGCAGCTGCGGCAGCAGCAGCGGAAGCACCTGCAGCAGCAGATTGTGCAGCAGCAAGCTGAACAGCAGCGGCTTTTGCAGCAGCAGCAGTGGCTGCAGCAGCAGCAGCAGCAGCAACCGCAGCAGCAGCGGCAGCAGCAGCTGCTGTTGCTGCAGCAGCGGCGGAGGCAGCGGCCGCGGCAACGGCAGCAGCAGCAGCGGCAGTTGCAGCCGCAGCAGCTTTTACAGCAGCAGCAACGTTTGCAGCAGCAGATTTTGCAGCAGCAACGTTTGCAGCAGCAGCTTTTGCAGCAGCAGCAGGAGGAGGGGGAGGAGGAGGAGGAGCAGGAGGGGCAGCAGCAAGAAGAAAGACCTCCGTTTATCTTGGCTCCAAACTTGCGAGCAATCTTCTTCCCCACCCACACATGCGAGGAGCAAACCCTTGTTTCTCTACGTGAATTCTGTCCCTCTCTCGCCCTGTACTGCATCTCACGCCGCTCGTTCTACTGGGAGAAGCAGAGAAAGATTTTACCAGAGACTCCGATGGTGCATGTGAGGAAGGCGAGAAGCGGGGTGCCATGCGCTTGCTTTGCGGAGAAGCGGCCGAAGAACGTGCGGGAGAAGATGCACAGTGTGAATAGGGAGCTGGTGGATGGGTACAGTGTTGATAAAGAAGAGGCTTACATGTTGAAGTACAAAGGGAGCCAGTGGAAGACCGAAGACAGCTCGGACCTGTGGAGCAGTTACTAAGGGGTGACTCTTGAGTCGAGTAGGAAATTACTCAAGTACAGTGTTGATGTGGATGAGGCTTATACGTAGAGGTACAAAGGGAACCTTTGTTGACTGGTAGAACAAAGGGATTCTCTGTTGAGCCGGAACGTGATGTGCTGGTGGCGTGTGTGAAGGGGGTGCTGCTGGATGGGATGGGTCAGGGCAGTAGCGCAAGCAGTGGCAGCAGCGAGAGTAGCGGTGGCAGCAGCGGTGGCAGCAGCGAGAGTAGCGGTGGCAGCAGAGGTGGCAGCAGGGCGTTTTACGCGCCGGTGGTGACGCCGTTTGAGGCGCTGATGGCGCTGGAAGAAGGGCGGGAGTGGACGGGGGAGTATCGGATGCTGCTGGATGGTGCTGGGGTGGGGGGAGGAGGAAGAGGAGGAGCGGTGAGGAAGGGAGAGGCAGGGTCAGGGGCAGATAATGGGGAAGAAGATGGGGAGGATGTGGCTCCTCGGTTCTCGTTTGTGAAAGGATCACTGGTATCCCACACACCCCTCACAAGGTATCTTCGTCAGCAGCAGCACCATCTGCAGCAGCACCATCTGCAGCAGCAGCAGCAGCAGCAGCGGCAACATTAGAGGAATCAGCTTTGACCGTCCGGCAGGACATGGCTCTTTCTGCGCTGCCCGTTTCGTCTGGCTCTGGCTCGGGCGTTTGGCCAATCAGGGTACGCCACGTCAGCGGCGGTGGAGGCGCGATCAGTGTCCGAGTTCCTGGCGCTGCGGCGTGACTATAAGGGGCTGGAGGTGCCCTGGTTCATGGCTCCTGGTGGGACGCCTGAGGGGACGCCCGGGGAGACGCATGGGGGGACACCTGGGGTGACGCCTGAGGGGATGCCTGGGGAAGGGGGAGGGGATGCAAGGGGGAGAGGGGATGAGGGAGAAGGGAGGATGGGGGAGCTTTGGGTGCTTTTATGCCGAGAGTGGCTCCGGCGATTGAGGCGGTGAGGGTGGTGGAAGGGAGGGAGGGCCGTGCTGCCAGGTATGGGGATGAACCACAACAGGGATAGGGAAGGCCGATAGAGGGGCGAGTACAGTATTGGTTGGTGTGATTATAAGGGGCTGAATGTGCCCTGGTTCATCCCTCCTGGTGGGACCCCTCTGCTCGCCCTGGGAAGACCGAGCAGGGGCGGAAAGGAGAAGCAGGGGGTGGTAGAGTAATGAGGGGTTTTGTCTGATGTTATGACAACGTGGGAACTTTGATTCATAGCTGTGGTTGGGAGAAACTTCATTCACCTAGATCTGTTTAAGATGAACTGTAGTTGATCCAAGTGTGAGTGACATGTACGAGCTCGTTTTAACGCACACCTTTGTATCGCAGTTGCTCACCCTCTCCCTCGATCTTCTCGTTTTAATGCACACCTTGCTCCCTCTACCTTCTGCTCCACACCCGAGTTCCTCGCCGATTCGGCCAAAACGTTCCAAACCTCTCGCAATCGCTCTACAACCCACTCCACCCTTCCTTAACCATTGTGCATGCTAGGTGATGCCCACACTGCAAATTTCCAGCTTTGGATTATGGTGCCATGCCAGTCTAGCAGCAATTTTTGCGTAGTAGCAGTGAACAAAAATGACTTCCCCCGGAGGATGTCGCGTTTCCAGTGTTGGACGATGGGTCAGAGCAGCCATTTGAACAGCCAGTGACTGAATACCACCACGCACCTACGGTCGTGATGACAAGTGCGCTCGAGTCTACATGACGAGTGCAGATGCATGATATTTGTGTTTAAAACCGGGGTCACAAGTTTGCCAAGTTTGGTTCAACCTTCCAACCCTTGTTTTGGTGTAACCCTGTTGACAGCGTTGTGCCCTGAAAGTTCACGCTTGCGTATACTCGAACACTCGCCCCCCAAAATTACTGTAGCGTCTGTATCGCCTGCACCCAAACAGAGCCCAAATGTGTCGCACAGGGGACTGTGGTAGGAAGCCTGAAACCACCGGGGTAGAAACTTGAGACTTGGATAATCAAGTCACCAACGCACTGCTTGATAATAGCCTAGTCTGCTTAGAAGGCCACAACTGAGAAAATTCCAGGCAATGATAATGCACACAATAGGCATAGGGTCAAGGTAGTGGACGTTTTCTGTCAGGGTTCTCCGAAGTGGCGCGCACTACGTCCGTTGAGTGGATTAGGGAAAAGCCAACGAGGGCGGCGTAGAGCCTGCAAGGCGACAGCTTGGCAGCGAGGAAAAACGTCACGGACTCCTGAGTCCGCGCGGGAGCGAGGGCGACACCTTACGCAATACGCATGTGCGGTGGCTCGGCGATTTTATCATGGTATAGCGCAATGTTCGGACCGTGCAGAGACGAGGACTATGCAATGTCGTCTAGGGCTCTTACAGCACGTCAGGGATTCATGCGCTACGTCTATCGTGCAAAAGGGCAATCTCACACAGCCGAGCGGAATTCGTGCCTGAAGGAAAACCCTCCTCATGCTACTTCTTTCTCCCACACGCACGTCGCTAGCACTCCCGACTTCCCTCTCGCGAGCACTCCCATTCGTCACGCTAGCGATCACCCCCCCCCCCCCCGACGCGCGCACTCCCCTTCCCCGACGCGCGCACTCCCCTTCCGCGACGCGCGCCCTCCCCTTCCCCCTCTCGCGCACTCCCCTTCCCTGACGCGCGCACTCCCCTTCCCCGACGCGCGCACTCCCCTTCCGCGACAAGCGCACTCCCCTTCCCCCTCTCGCGCACTCCCCTTCCCTGACGCGCGCTCCCCCCTTCCCCGACGCGCGCACTCCCCTTCCCCGACGCGCGCACTCCCCTTCCCCGACGCAAGCACTCGCCTTCCCCGTCGGGAGCACTCCCCATCCCAGCCAAGATCACTCCCTTTCGTCACGCTAGCATTCCCATTCCCCGTCACGCTAGCATTCCCATTCCCCGTCACGCTAGCATTCCCATTCCCCGTCACGCTAGCATTCCCATTCCCCGTCACGCTAGCATTCCCATTCCCCGTCACGCTAGCATTCACATTCCCCGTCACGCTAGCATTCACATTCCCCGTCACGCTAGCATTCACATTCCCCGTCACGCTAGCATTCACATTCCCCGTCACGCTAGCATTCCCATTCCCCGTCACGCTAGCATTCCCATTCCCCGTCACGCTAGCATTCCCATTCCCCGTCACGCTAGCATTCACATTCCCCGTCACGCTAGCATTCACATTCCCCGTCACGCTAGCATTCACATTCCCCGTCACGCTAGCATTCACATTCCCCGTCACGCTAGCATTCCCATTCCCCGTCACGCTAGCATTCACATTCCCCGTCACGCTAGCATTCCCATTCCCCGTCACGCTAGCATTCCCATTCCCCGTCACGCTAGCATTCCCATTCCCCGTCACGCTAGCATTCACAATCCCCGTCACGCTAGCATTCCCATTCCCCGTCACGCTAGCATTCCCATTCCCCGTCACGCTAGCATTCCCATTCCCCGTCACGCTAGCATTCCCATTCCCCGTCACGCTAGCATTCCCATTCCCCGTCACGCTAGCATTCCCATTCCCCGTCACGCTAGCATTCACATTCCCCGTCACGCTAGCATTCCCATTCCCCGTCACGCTAGCATTCCCATTCCCCGTCACGCTAGCATTCACATTCCCCGTCACGCTAGCATTCCCATTCCCCGTCACGCTAGCATTCACATTCCCCGTCACGCTAGCATTCCCATTCCCCGTCACGCTAGCATTCCATTCCCCGTCACGCTAGCATTCCCATTCCCCGTCACGCTAGCATTCCCATTCCCCGTCACGCTAGCATTCACATTCCCCGTCACGCTAGCATTCCCATTCCCCGTCACGCTAGCATTCACATTCCCCGTCACGCTAGCATTCCCATTCCCCGTCACGCTAGCATTCACATTCCCCGTCACGCTAGCATTCCCATTCCCCGTCACGCTAGCATTCCCATTCCCCGTCACGCTAGCATTCACATTCCCCGTCACGCTAGCATTCCCATTCCCCGTCACGCTAGCATTCACATTCCCCGTCACGCTAGCATTCCCATTCCCCGTCACGCTAGCATTCCCATTCCCCGTCACGCTAGCATTCCCATTCCCCGTCACGCTAGCATTCCCATTCCCCGTCACGCTAGCATTCACATTCCCCGTCACGCTAGCATTCCCATTCCCCGTCACGCTAGCATTCACATTCCCCGTCACGCTAGCATTCCCATTCCCCGTCACGCTAGCATTCACATTCCCCGTCACGCTAGCATTCCCATTCCCCGTCACGCTAGCATTCCCATTCCCCGTCACGCTAGCATTCCCATTCCCCGTCACGCTAGCATTCCCATTCCCCGTCACGCTAGCATTCCCATTCCCCGTCACGCTAGCATTCCCATTCCCCGTCACGCTAGCATTCCCATTCCCCGTCACGCTAGCATTCCCATTCCCCGTCACGCTAGCATTCACATTCCCCGTCACGCTAGCATTCCCATTCCCCGTCACGCTAGCATTCCCATTCCCCGTCACGCTAGCATTCACATTCCCCGTCACGCTAGCATTCCCATTCCCCGTCACGCTAGCATTCCCATTCCCCGTCACGCTAGCATTCACATTCCCCGTCACGCTAGCATTCCCATTCCCCGTCACGCTAGCATTCACATTCCCCGTCACGCTAGCATTCCCATTCCCCGTCACGCTAGCATTCCCATTCCCCGTCACGCTAGCATTCCCATTCCCCGTCACGCTAGCATTCCCATTCCCCGTCACGCTAGCATTCCCATTCCCCGTCACGCTAGCATTCCCATTCCCCGTCACGCTAGCATTCACATTCCCCGTCACGCTAGCATTCCCATTCCCCGTCACGCTAGCATTCCCATTCCCCGTCACGCTAGCATTCCCATTCCCCTTCACGCTAGCATTCCCATTCCCCGTCACGCTAGCATTCCCATTCCCCGTCACGCTAGCATTCCCATTCCCCGTCACGCTAGCATTCACATTCCCCGTCACGCTAGCATTCCCATTCCCCGTCACGCTAGCATTCACATTCCCCGTCACGCTAGCATTCCCATTCCCCGTCACGCTAGCATTCCCATTCCCCGTCACGCTAGCATTCCCATTCCCCGTCACGCTAGCATTCCCATTCCCCGTCACGCTAGCATTCCCATTCCCCGTCCCGCTAGCATTCACATTCCCCGTCACGCTAGCATTCCCATTCCCCGTCACGCTAGCATTCCCATTCCCCGTCACGCTAGCATTCCCATTCCCCGTCACGCTAGCATTCACATTCCCCGTCACGCTAGCATTCCCATTCCCCGTCACGCTAGCATTCACATTCCCCGTCACGCTAGCATTCCCATTCCCCGTCACGCTAGCATTCACATTCCCCGTCACGCTAGCATTCCCATTCCCCGTCACGCTAGCATTCCCATTCCCCGTCACGCTAGCATTCCCATTCCCCGTCACGCTAGCATTCCCATTCCCCGTCACGCTAGCATTCCCATTCCCCGTCACGCTAGCATTCCCATTCCCCGTCACGCTAGCATTCACATTCCCCGTCACGCTAGCATTCCCATTCCCCGTCACGCTAGCATTCCCATTCCCCGTCACGCTAGCATTCCCATTCCCCGTCACGCTAGCATTCACATTCCCCGTCACGCTAGCATTCCCATTCCCCGTCACGCTAGCATTCCCATTCCCCGTCACGCTAGCATTCCCATTCCCCGTCACGCTAGCATTCCCATTCCCCGTCACGCTAGCATTCCCATTCCCCGTCACGCTAGCATTCACATTCCCCGTCACGCTAGCATTCCCATTCCCCGTCACGCTAGCATTCCCATTCCCCGTCACGCTAGCATTCCCATTCCCCGTCACGCTAGCATTCCCATTCCCCGTCACGCTAGCATTCCCATTCCCCGTCACGCTAGCATTCCCATTCCCCGTCACGCTAGCATTCCCATTCCCCGTCACGCTAGCATTCCCATTCCCCGTCACGCTAGCATTCCCATTCCCCGTCACGCTAGCATTCCCATTCCCCGTCACGCTAGCATTCCCATTCCCCGTCACGCTAGCATTCACATTCCCCGTCACGCTAGCATTCCCATTCCCCGTCACGCTAGCATTCCCATTCCCCGTCACGCTAGCATTCCCATTCCCCGTCACTCTAGCATTCACATTCCCCGTCACGCTAGCATTCCCATTCCCCGTCACGCTAGCATTTACATTCCCCGTCACGCTAGCATTCCCATTCCCCGTCACGCTAGCATTCACATTCCCCGTCACGCTAGCATTCCCATTCCCCGTCACGCTAGCATTCCCATTCCCCGTCACGCTAGCATTCCCATTCCCCGTCACGCTAGCATTCCCATTCCCCGTCACGCTAGCATTCCCATTCCCCGTCACGCTAGCATTCCCATTCCCCGTCACGCTAGCATTCCCATTCCCCGTCACGCTAGCATTCCCATTCCCCGTCACGCTAGCATTCACATTCCCCGTCACGCTAGCATTCCCATTCCCCGTCACGCTAGCATTCACATTCCCCGTCACGCTAGCATTCCCATTCCCCGTCACGCTAGCATTCCCATTCCCCGTCACGCTAGCATTCCCATTCCCCGTCACGCTAGCATTCCCATTCCCCGTCACGCTAGCATTCCCATTCCCCGTCACGCTAGCATTCCCATTCCCCGTCACGCTAGCATTCCCATTCCCCGTCACGCTAGCATTCCCATTCCCCGTCACGCTAGCATTCCCATTCCCCGTCACGCTAGCATTCCCATTCCCCGTCACGCTAGCATTCCCATTCCCCGTCACGCTAGCATTCCCATTCCCCGTCACGCTAGCATTCCCATTCCCCGTCACGCTAGCATTCACATTCCCCGTCACGCTAGCATTCCCATTCCCCGTCACGCTAGCATTCACATTCCCCGTCACGCTAGCATTCCCATTCCCCGTCACGCTAGCATTCCCATTCCCCGTCACGCTAGCATTCCCATTCCCCGTCACGCTAGCATTCACATTCCCCGTCACGCTAGCATTCCCATTCCCCGTCACGCTAGCATTCCCATTCCCCGTCACGCTAGCATTCACATTCCCCGTCACGCTAGCATTCCCATTCCCCGTCACGCTAGCATTCCCATTCCCCGTCACGCTAGCATTCCCATTCCCCGTCACGCTAGCATTCCCATTCCCCGTCACGCTAGCATTCCCATTCCCCGTCACGCTAGCATTCACATTCCCCGTCACGCTAGCATTCCCATTCCCCGTCACGCTAGCATTCCCATTCCCCGTCACGCTAGCATTCCCATTCCCCGTCACGCTAGCATTCCCATTCCCCGTCACGCTAGCATTCCCATTCCCCGTCACGCTAGCATTCCCATTCCCCGTCACGCTAGCATTCCCATTCCCCGTCACGCTAGCATTCCCATTCCCCGTCACGCTAGCATTCCCATTCCCCGTCACGCTAGCATTCACATTCCCCGTCACGCTAGCATTCCCATTCCCCGTCACGCTAGCATTCACATTCCCCGTCACGCTAGCATTCCCATTCCCCGTCACGCTAGCATTCACATTCCCCGTCACGCTAGCATTCCCATTCCCCGTCACGCTAGCATTCCCATTCCCCGTCACGCTAGCATTCACATTCCCCGTCACGCTAGCATTCCCATTCCCCGTCACGCTAGCATTCCCATTCCCCGTCACGCTAGCATTCCCATTCCCCGTCACGCTAGCATTCCCATTCCCCGTCACGCTAGCATTCACATTCCCCGTCACGCTAGCATTCCCATTCCCCGTCACGCTAGCATTCACATTCCCCGTCACGCTAGCATTCCCATTCCCCGTCACGCTAGCATTCCCATTCCCCGTCACGCTAGCATTCCCATTCCCCGTCACGCTAGCATTCACATTCCCCGTCACGCTAGCATTCCCATTCCCCGTCACGCTAGCATTCCCATTCCCCGTCACGCTAGCATTCCCATTCCCCGTCACGCTAGCATTCCCATTCCCCGTCACGCTAGCATTCACATTCCCCGGCACGCTAGCATTCCCATTCCCCGTCACGCTAGCATTCCCATTCCCCGTCACGCTAGCATTCCCATTCCCCGTCACGCTAGCATTCCCATTCCCCGTCACGCTAGCATTCCCATTCCCCGTCACGCTAGCATTCCCATTCCCCGTCACGCTAGCATTCACATTCCCCGTCACGCTAGCATTCCCATTCCCCGTCACGCTAGCATTCCCATTCCCCGTCACGCTAGCATTCCCATTCCCCGTCACGCTAGCATTCCCATTCCCCGTCACGCTAGCATTCCCATTCCCCGTCACGCTAGCATTCCCATTCCCCGTCACGCTAGCATTCACATTCCCCGTCACGCTAGCATTCCCATTCCCCGTCACGCTAGCATTCCCATTCCCCGTCACGCTAGCATTCCCATTCCCCGTCACGCTAGCATTCCCATTCCCCGTCACGCTAGCATTCCCATTCCCCGTCACGCTAGCATTCCCATTCCCCGTCACGCTAGCATTCACATTCCCCATCACGCTAGCATTCCCATTCCCCGTCACGCTAGCATTCCCATTCCCCGTCACGCTAGCATTCCCATTCCCCGTCACGCTAGCATTCCCATTCCCCGTCACGCTAGCATTCCCATTCCCCGTCACGCTAGCATTCCCATTCCCCGTCACGCTAGCATTCACATTCCCCGTCACGCTAGCATACCCATTCCCCGTCACGCTAGCATTCCCATTCCCCGTCACGCTAGCATTCCCATTCCCCGTCACGCTAGCATTCCCATTCCCCGTCACGCTAGCATTCACATTCCCCGTCACGCTAGCATTCCCATTCCCCGTCACGCTAGCATTCCCATTCCCCGTCACGCTAGCATTCCCATTCCCCGTCACGCTAGCATTCCCATTCCCCGTCACGCTAGCATTCCCATTCCCCGTCACGCTAGCATTCCATTCCCCGTCACGCTAGCATTCCCATTCCCCGTCACGCTAGCATTCCCATTCCCCGTCACGCTAGCATTCCCATTCCCCGTCACGCTAGCATTCCCATTCCCCGTCACGCTAGCATTCCCATTCCCCGTCACGCTAGCATTCACATTCCCCGTCACGCTAGCATTCCCATTCCCCGTCACGCTAGCATTCACATTCCCCGTCACGCTAGCATTCCCATTCCCCGTCACGCTAGCATTCCCATTCCCCGTCACGCTAGCATTCCCATTCCCCGTCACGCTAGCATTCCCATTCCCCGTCACGCTAGCATTCCCATTCCCCGTCACGCTAGCATTCCCATTCCCCGTCACGCTAGCATTCCCATTCCCCGTCACGCTAGCATTCCCATTCCCCGTCACGCTAGCATTCACATTCCCCGTCACGCTAGCATTCCCATTCCCCGTCACGCTAGCATTCACATTCCCCGTCACGCTAGCATTCCCATTCCCCGTCACGCTAGCATTCCCATTCCCCGTCACGCTAGCATTCCCATTCCCCGTCACGCTAGCATTCCCATTCCCCGTCACGCTAGCATTCACATTCCCCGTCACGCTAGCATTCACATTCCCCGTCACGCTAGCATTCACATTCCCCGTCACGCTAGCATTCCCATTCCCGTCACGCTAGCATTCACATTCCCCGTCACGCTAGCATTCCCATTCCCCGTCACGCTAGCATTCACATTCCCCGTCACGCTAGCATTCACATTCTCGTCACGCTAGCATTCCCATTCCCCGTCACGCTAGCATTCACATTCCCCGTCACGCTAGCATTCCCATTCCCCGTCACGCTAGCATTCACATTCCCCGTCACGCTAGCATTCCCATTCCCCGTCACGCTAGCATTCCCATTCCCCGTCACGCTAGCATTCCCATTCCCCGTCACGCTAGCATTCCCATTCCCCGTCACGCTAGCATTCACATTCCCCGTCACGCTAGCATTCCCATTCCCCGTCACGCTAGCATTCACATTCCCCGTCACGCTAGCATTCACATTCCCCGTCACGCTAGCATTCCCATTCCCCGTCACGCTAGCATTCACATTCCCCGTCACGCTAGCATTCCCATTCCCCGTCACGCTAGCATTCACATTCCCCGTCACGCTAGCATTCACATTCCCCGTCACGCTAGCATTCCCATTCCCCGTCACGCTAGCATTCACATTCCCCGTCACGCTAGCATTCCCATTCCCCGTCACGCTAGCATTCCCATTCCCCGTCACGCTAGCATTCACATTCCCCGTCACGCTAGCATTCACATTCCCCGTCACGCTAGCATTCCCATTCCCCGTCACGCTAGCATTCACATTCCCCGTCACGCTAGCATTCCCATTCCCCGTCACGCTAGCATTCCCATTCCCCGTCACGCTAGCATTCCCATTCCCCGTCACGCTAGCATTCCCATTCCCCGTCACGCTAGCATTCCCATTCCCCGTCACGCTAGCATTCCCATTCCCCGTCACGCTAGCATTCACATTCCCCGTCACGCTAGCATTCCCATTCCCCGTCACGCTAGCATTCCCATTCCCCGTCACGCTAGCATTCCCATTCCCCGTCACGCTAGCATTCCCATTCCCCGTCACGCTAGCATTCACATTCCCCGTCACGCTAGCATTCCCATTCCCCGTCACGCTAGCATTCCCATTCCCCGTCACGCTAGCATTCCCATTCCCCGTCACGCTAGCATTCCCATTCCCCGTCACGCTAGCATTCCCATTCCCCGTCACGCTAGCATTAACATTCCCCGTCACGCTAGCATTCCCATTCCCCGTCACGCTAGCATTCCCATTCCCCGTCACGCTAGCATTCCCATTCCCCGTCACGCTAGCATTCCCATTCCCCGTCACGCTAGCATTCACATTCCCCGTCACGCTAGCATTCCCATTCCCCGTCACGCTAGCATTCCCATTCCCCGTCACGCTAGCATTCCCATTCCCCGTCACGCTAGCATTCCCATTCCCCGTCACGCTAGCATTCCCATTCCCCGTCACGCTAGCATTCCCATTCCCCGTCACGCTAGCATTCCCATTCCCCGTCACGCTAGCATTCCCATTCCCCGTCACGCTAGCATTCCCATTCCCCGTCACGCTAGCATTCACATTCCCCGTCACGCTAGCATTCCATTCCCCGTCACGCTAGCATTCCCATTCCCCGTCACGCTAGCATTCACATTCCCCGTCACGCTAGCATTCACATTCCCCGTCACGCTAGCATTCCCATTCCCCGTCACGCTAGCATTCCCATTCCCCGTCACGCTAGCATTCACATTCCCCGTCACGCTAGCATTCACATTCCCCGTCACGCTAGCATTCCCATTCCCCGTCACGCTAGCATTCACATTCCCCGTCACGCTAGCATTCCCATTCCCCGTCACGCTAGCATTCCCATTCCCCGTCACGCTAGCATTCCCATTCCCCGTCACGCTAGCATTCACATTCCCCGTCACGCTAGCATTCACATTCCCCGTCACGCTAGCATTCCCATTCCCCGTCACGCTAGCATTCACATTCCCCGTCACGCTAGCATTCCCATTCCCCGTCACGCTAGCATTCCCATTCCCCGTCACGCTAGCATTCCCATTCCCCGTCACGCTAGCATTCCCATTCCCCGTCACGCTAGCATTCCCATTCCCCGTCACGCTAGCATTCACATTCCCCGTCACGCTAGCATTCCCATTCCCCGTCACGCTAGCATTCACATTCCCCGTCACGCTAGCATTCCCATTCCCCGTCACGCTAGCATTCCCATTCCCCGTCACGCTAGCATTCACATTCCCCGTCACGCTAGCATTCCCATTCCCCGTCACGCTAGCATTCACATTCCCCGTCACGCTAGCATTCCCATTCCCCGTCACGCTAGCATTCACATTCCCCGTCACGCTAGCATTCCCATTCCCCGTCACGCTAGCATTCCCATTCCCCGTCACGCTAGCATTCCCATTCCCCGTCACGCTAGCATTCCCATTCCCCGTCACGCTAGCATTCCCATTCCCCGTCACGCTAGCATTCCCATTCCCCGTCACGCTAGCATTCCCATTCCCCGTCACGCTAGCATTCCCATTCCCCGTCACGCTAGCATTCCCATTCCCCGTCACGCTAGCATTCCCATTCGTCACGCTAGCATTCCCATTCCCCGTCACGCTAGCATTCCCATTCCCCGTCACGCTAGCATTCACATTCCCCGTCACGCTAGCATTCCCATTCCCCGTCACGCTAGCATTCCCATTCCCCGTCACGCTAGCATTCCCATTCCCCGTCACGCTAGCATTCCCATTCCCCGTCACGCTAGCATTCCCATTCCCCGTCACGCTAGCATTCCCATTCCCCGTCACGCTAGCATTCCATTCCCCGTCACGCTAGCATTCACATTCCCCGTCACGCTAGCATTCCCATTCCCCGTCACGCTAGCATTCCCATTCCCCGTCACGCTAGCATTCCCATTCCCCGTCACGCTAGCATTCACATTCCCCGTCACGCTAGCATTCCATTCCCCGTCACGCTAGCATTCCCATTCCCCGTCACGCTAGCATTCCCATTCCCGTCACGCTAGCATTCACATTCCCCGTCACGCTAGCATTCCCATTCCCCGTCACGCTAGCATTTCCCATTCCCCGTCACGCTAGCATTCCCATTCCCCGTCACGCTAGCATTCCCATTCCCCGTCACGCTAGCATTCCCATTCCCCGTCACGCTAGCATTCCCATCCCCGTCACGCTAGCATTCCCATTCCCCGTCACGCTAGCATTCCCATTCCCCGTCACGCTAGCATTCACATTCCCCGTCACGCTAGCATTCCCATTCCCCGTCACGCTAGCATTCACATTCCCCGTCACGCTAGCATTCCATTCCCCGTCACGCTAGCATTCCCATTCCCCGTCACGCTAGCATTCCCATTCCCCGTCACGCTAGCATTCCCATTCCCCGTCACGCTAGCATTCCCATTCCCCCGTCACGCTAGCATTCACATTTCCCCGTCACGCTAGCATTCACATTCCCGTCACGCTAGCATTCCCATTCCCCGTCACGCTAGCATTCCCATTCCACGTCACGCTAGCATTCCCATTCCCCGTCACGCTAGCATTCCCATTCCCCGTCACGCTAGCATTCACATTCCCCGTCACGCTAGCATTCCCATTCCCCGTCACGCTAGCATTCCCATTCCCCGTCACGCTAGCATTCCCATTCCCCGTCACGCTAGCATTCCCATTCCCCGTCACGCTAGCATTCACATTCCCCGTCACGCTAGCATTCCCATTCCCCGTCACGCTAGCATTCCCATTCCCCGTCACGCTAGCATTCCCATTCCCCGTCACGCTAGCATTCCCATTCCCCGTCACGCTAGCATTCACATTCCCCGTCACGCTAGCATTCCCATTCCCCGTCACGCTAGCATTCCCATTCCCCGTCACGCTAGCATTCCCATTCCCCGTCACGCTAGCATTCCCATTCCCCGTCACGCTAGCATTCCCATTCCCCGTCACGCTAGCATTCCCATTCCCCGTCACGCTAGCATTCCCATTCCCCGTCACGCTAGCATTCACATTCCCCGTCACGCTAGCATTCCCATTCCCCGTCACGCTAGCATTCCCATTCCCCGTCACGCTAGCATTCCCATTCCCCGTCACGCTAGCATTCCCATTCCCCGTCACGCTAGCATTCCCATTCCCCGTCACGCTAGCATTCCCATTCCCCGTCACGCTAGCATTCCCATTCCCCGTCACGCTAGCATTCCCATTCCCCGTCACGCTAGCATTCACATTCCCCGTCACGCTAGCATTCCCATTCCCCGGTCACGCTAGCATTCCCATTCCCCGTCACGCTAGCATTCCCATTCCCCGTCACGCTAGCATTCCCATTCCCCGTCACGCTAGCATTCCCATTCCCCGTCACGCTAGCATTCCCATTCCCCGTCACGCTAGCATTCCCATTCCCCGTCACGCTAGCATTCCCATCCCCGTCACGCTAGCATTCACATTCCCCGTCACGCTAGCATTCCCCATTCCCCGTCACGCTAGCATTCCCATTCCCCGTCACGCTAGCATTCCCATTCCCCGTCACGCTAGCATTCCCATTCCCCGTCACGCTAGCATTCCCATTCCCCGTCACGCTAGCATTCCCATTCCCCGTCACGCTAGCATTCCCATTCCCCGTCACGCTAGCATTTCCCATTCCCCGTCACGCTAGCATTCCCATTCCCCGTCACGCTAGCATTCCCATTCCCCGTCACGCTAGCATTCACATTCCCCGTCACGCTAGCATTCCCATTCCCCGTCACGCTAGCATTCCCATTCCCCGTCACGCTAGCATTCCCATTCCCCGTCACGCTAGCATTCCCATTCCCCGTCACGCTAGCATTCCCATTCCCCGTCACGCTAGCATTCCCATTCCCCGTCACGCTAGCATTCCCATTCCCCGTCACGCTAGCATTCCCATTCCCCGTCACGCTAGCATTCCCATTCCCCGTCACGCTAGCATTCCCATTCCCCGTCACGCTAGCATTCACATTCCCCGTCACGCTAGCATTCCCATTCCCCGTCACGCTAGCATTCCCATTCCCCGTCCGCTAGCATTCCCATTCCCCGTCACGCTAGCATTCACATTCCCCGTCACGCTAGCATTCCCATTCCCCGTCACGCTAGCATTCCCATTCCCCGTCACGCTAGCATTCCCATTCCCCGTCACGCTAGCATTCACATTCCCCGTCACGCTAGCATTCACATTCCCCGTCACGCTAGCATTCCCATTCCCCGTCACGCTAGCATTCCCATTCCCCGTCACGCTAGCATTCCCATTCCCCGTCACGCTAGCATTCCCATTCCCCGTCACGCTAGCATTCCCATTCCCCGTCACGCTAGCATTCCCATTCCCCGTCACGCTAGCATTCCCATTCCCCGTCACGCTAGCATTCCCATTCCCCGTCACGCTAGCATTCCCATTCCCCGTCACGCTAGCATTCCATTCCCCGTCACGCTAGCATTCCCATTCCCCGTCACGCTAGCATTCCCATTCCCCGTCACGCTAGCATTCCCATTCCCCGTCACGCTAGCATTCACATTCCCCGTCACGCTAGCATTCCCATTCCCCGTCACGCTAGCATTCACATTCCCCGTCACGCTAGCATTCCCATTCCCCGTCACGCTAGCATTCCCATTCCCCGTCACGCTAGCATTCCCATTCCCCGTCACGCTAGCATTCACATTCCCCGTCACGCTAGCATTCCCATTCCCCGTCACGCTAGCATTCCCATTCCCCGTCACGCTAGCATTCCCATTCCCCGTCACGCTAGCATTCCCATTCCCCGTCACGCTAGCATTCCCATTCCCCGTCACGCTAGCATTCCCATTCCCCGTCACGCTAGCATTCCCATTCCCCGTCACGCTAGCATTCCCATTCCCCGTCACGGCTAGCATTCCCATTCCCCGTCACGCTAGCATTCCCATTCCCCGTCACGCTAGCATTCCCATTCCCCGTCACGGCTAGCATTCCCATTCCCCGTCACGCTAGCATTCCCATTCCCGTCACGCTAGCATTCCCATCCCCGTCACGCTAGCATTCCCATTCCCCGTCACGCTAGCATTCCCATTCCCCGTCACGCTAGCATTCCCATTCCCCGTCACGCTAGCATTCCCATTCCCCGTCACGCTAGCATTCACATTCCCCGTCACGCTAGCATTCCCATTCCCCGTCACGCTAGCATTCCCATTCCCCGTCACGCTAGCATTCCCATTCCCCGTCACGCTAGCATTCCCATTCCCCGTCACGCTAGCATTCCCATTCCCCGTCACGCTAGCATTCCCATTCCCCGTCACGCTAGCATTCCCATTCCCCGTCACGCTAGCATTCCCATTCCCCGTCACGCTAGCATTCCCATCCCCGTCACGCTAGCATTCCCATTCCCCGTCACGCTAGCATTCCCATTCCCCGTCACGCTAGCATTCACATTCCCCGTCACGCTAGCATTCCCATTCCCCGTCACGCTAGCATTCCCATTCCCCGTCACGCTAGCATTCCCATTCCCCGTCACGCTAGCATTCCCATTCCCCGTCACGCTAGCATTCCCATTCCCCGTCACGCTAGCATTCCCATTCCCCGTCACGCTAGCATTCCCATTCCCCGTCACGCTAGCATTCCCATTCCCCGTCACGCTAGCATTCCCATTCCCCGTCACGCTAGCATTCCCATTCCCCGTCACGCTAGCATTCCCATTCCCCGTCACGCTAGCATTCACATTCCCCGTCACGCTAGCATTCCCATTCCCCGTCACGCTAGCATTCCCATTCCCCGTCACGCTAGCATTCACATTCCCCGTCACGCTAGCATTCCCATTCCCCGTCACGCTAGCATTCACATTCCCCGTCACGCTAGCATTCCCATTCCCCGTCACGCTAGCATTCACATTCCCCGTCACGCTAGCATTCCCATTCCCCGTCACGCTAGCATTCCCATTCCCCGTCACGCTAGCATTCCCATTCCCCGTCACGCTAGCATTCACATTCCCCGTCACGCTAGCATTCCCATTCCCCGTCACGCTAGCATTCCCATTCCCCGTCACGCTAGCATTCCCATTCCCCGTCACGCTAGCATTCCCATTCCCCGTCACGCTAGCATTCCCATTCCCCGTCACGCTAGCATTCCCATTCCCCGTCACGCTAGCATTCCCATTCCCCCGTCACGCTAGCATTCCCATTCCCCGTCACGCTAGCATTCCCATTCCCCGTCACGCTAGCATTCCCATTCCCCGTCACGCTAGCATTCCCATTCCCCGTCACGCTAGCATTCCCATTCCCCGTCACGCTAGCATTCACATTCCCCGTCACGCTAGCATTCACATTCCCCGTCACGCTAGCATTCCCATTCCCCGTCACGCTAGCATTCACATTCCCCGTCACGCTAGCATTCCCATTCCCCGTCACGCTAGCATTCACATTCCCCGTCACGCTAGCATTCCCATTCCCCGTCACGCTAGCATTCCCATTCCCCGTCACGCTAGCATTCCCATTCCCCGTCACGCTAGCATTCCCATTCCCCGTCACGCTAGCATTCCCATTCCCCGTCACGCTAGCATTCCCATTCCCCGTCACGCTAGCATTCACATTCCCCGTCACGCTAGCATTCCCATTCCCCGTCACGCTAGCATTCCCATTCCCCGTCACGCTAGCATTCACATTCCCCGTCACGCTAGCATTCCCATTCCCCGTCACGCTAGCATTCCCATTCCCCGTCACGCTAGCATTCCCATTCCCCGTCACGCTAGCATTCCCATTCCCCGTCACGCTAGCATTCCCATTCCCCGTCACGCTAGCATTCCCATTCCCCGTCACGCTAGCATTCACATTCCCCGTCACGCTAGCATTCCCATTCCCCGTCACGCTAGCATTCCCATTCCCCGTCACGCTAGCATTCCCATTCCCCGTCACGCTAGCATTCCCATTCCCCGTCACGCTAGCATTCCCATTCCCCGTCACGCTAGCATTCCCATTCCCCGTCACGCTAGCATTCCCATTCCCCGTCACGCTAGCATTCCCATTCCCCGTCACGCTAGCATTCCCATTCCCCGTCACGCTAGCATTCCCATTCCCCGTCACGCTAGCATTCCCATTCCCGTCACGCTAGCATTCCCATTCCCCGTCACGCTAGCATTCCCATTCCCGTCACGCTAGCATTCACATTCCCCGTCACGCTAGCATTCCCATTCCCCGTCACGCTAGCATTCCCATTCCCCGTCACGCTAGCATTCCCATTCCCCGTCACGCTAGCATTCCCATTTCCCCGTCACGCTAGCATTCCCATTCCCCGTCACGCTAGCATTCCCATTCCCCGTCACGCTAGCATTTCCCATTCCCCGTCACGCTAGCATTCCCATTCCCCGTCACGCTAGCATTCCCATTCCCCGTCACGCTAGCATTCACATTCCCCGTCACGCTAGCATTTCCCCATTCCCCGTCACGCTAGCATTCCCATTCCCCGTCACGCTAGCATTCCCCTTCCCAGTCACGCTAGCATTCCATTCCCCGTCACGCTAGCATTCCATTCCCCGTCACGCTAGCATTCACATTCCCGTCACGCTAGCATTCCCATTCCCCGTCACGCTAGCATTCACATTCCCCGTCACGCTAGCATTCCCATTCCCCGTCACGCTAGCATTCCCATTCCCCGTCACGCTAGCATTCCCATTCCCCGTCACGCTAGCATTCCCATTCCCCGTCACGCTAGCATTCCCATTCCCCGTCACGCTAGCATTCCCATTCCCCGTCACGCTAGCATTCACATTCCCCGTCACGCTAGCATTCCCATTCCCCGTCACGCTAGCATTCCCATTCCCCGTCACGCTAGCATTCACATTCCCCGTCACGCTAGCATTCCCATTCCCCGTCACGCTAGCATTCACATTCCCCGTCACGCTAGCATTCCCATTCCCCGTCACGCTAGCATTCCCATTCCCCGTCACGCTAGCATTCACATTCCCCGTCACGCTAGCATTCCCATTCCCGTCACGCTAGCATTCCCATTCCCCGTCACGCTAGCATTCCAATTCCCCGTCACGCTAGCATTCACATTCCCCGTCACGCTAGCATTCCCATTCCCCGTCACGCTAGCATTCACATTCCCCGTCACGCTAGCATTCCCATTCCCCGTCACGCTAGCATTCACATTCCCCGTCACGCTAGCATTCCCATTCCCCGTCACGCTAGCATTCCCATTCCCCGTCACGCTAGCATTCACATTCCCCGTCACGCTAGCATTCCCATTCCCCGTCACGCTAGCATTCCCATTCCCCGTCACGCTAGCATTCCCATTCCCCGTCACGCTAGCATTCCCATTCCCCGTCACGCTAGCATTCACATTCCCCGTCACGCTAGCATTCCCATTCCCCGTCACGCTAGCATTCACATTCCCCGTCACGCTAGCATTCCCATTCCCCGTCACGCTAGCATTCCCATTCCCCGTCACGCTAGCATTCCCATTCCCCGTCACGCTAGCATTCCCATTCCCCGTCACGCTAGCATTCCCATTCCCCGTCACGCTAGCATTCCCATTCCCCGTCACGCTAGCATTCACATTCCCCGTCACGCTAGCATTCCCATTCCCCGTCACGCTAGCATTCCCATTCCCCGTCACGCTAGCATTCCCATTCCCCGTCACGCTAGCATTCCCATTCCCCGTCACGCTAGCATTCACATTCCCCGTCACGCTAGCATTCCCATTCCCCGTCACGCTAGCATTCACATTCCCCGTCACGCTAGCATTCCCATTCCCCGTCACGCTAGCATTCCCATTCCCCGTCACGCTAGCATTCACATTCCCCGTCACGCTAGCATTCCCATTCCCCGTCACGCTAGCATTCACATTCCCCGTCACGCTAGCATTCCCATTCCCCGTCACGCTAGCATTCCATTCCCGTCACGCTAGCATTCACATTCCCCGTCACGCTAGCATTCCCATTCCCCGTCACGCTAGCATTCCCATTCCCCGTCACGCTAGCATTCCATTCCCCGTCACGCTAGCATTCCCATTCCCCGTCACGCTAGCATTCCCATTCCCCGTCACGCTAGCATTCCCATTCCCCGTCACGCTAGCATTCACATTCCCCGTCACGCTAGCATTCCCATTCCCCGTCACGCTAGCATTCCCATTCCCCGTCACGCTAGCATTCCCATTCCCCGTCACGCTAGCATTCCCATTCCCCGTCACGCTAGCATTCCCATTCCCCGTCACGCTAGCATTCCCATTCCCCGTCACGCTAGCATTCCCATTCCCCGTCACGCTAGCATTCCCATTCCCCGTCACGCTAGCATTCCCATTCCCCGTCACGCTAGCATTCCCATTCCCCGTCACGCTAGCATTCCCATTCCCCGTCACGCTAGCATTCCCATTCCCCGTCACGCTAGCATTCCCATTCCCCGTCACGCTAGCATTCCCATTCCCCGTCACGCTAGCATTCCCATTCCCCGTCACGCTAGCATTCCCATTCCCCGTCACGCTAGCATTCCCATTCCCCGTCACGCTAGCATTCCCATTCCCCGTCACGCTAGCATTCCCATTCCCCGTCACGCTAGCATTCACATTCCCGTCACGCTAGCATTCCCATTCCCCGTCACGCTAGCATTCCCATTCCCGTCACGCTAGCATTCACATTCCCCGTCACGCTAGCATTCCCATTCCCCGTCACGCTAGCATTCCCATTCCCCGTCACGCTAGCATTCCCATTCCCCGTCACGCTAGCATTCACATTCCCCGTCACGCTAGCATTCCCATTCCCGTCACGCTAGCATTCCCATTCCCCGTCACGCTAGCATTCCCATTCCCCGTCACGCTAGCATTCCCATTCCCCGTCACGCTAGCATTCCCATTCCCCGTCACGCTAGCATTCACATTCCCCGTCACGCTAGCATTCCCATTCCCCGTCACGCTAGCATTCACTTCCCCCGTCACGCTAGCATTCCCATTCCCCGTCACGCTAGCATTCCCATTCCCCGTCACGCTAGCATTCCCATTCCCCGTCACGCTAGCATTCCCATTCCCCGTCACGCTAGCATTCACATTCCCCGTCACGCTAGCATTCCCATTCCCGTCACGCTAGCATTCCATTCCCCGTCACGCTAGCATTCCCATTCCCCGTCACGCTAGCATTCCCATTCCCCGTCACGCTAGCATTCCCATTCCCCGTCACGCTAGCATTCCCATTCCCCGTCACGCTAGCATTCCCATTCCCCGTCACGGCATTCCCATTCCCCGTCACGCTAGCATTCCCATTCCCCGTCACGCTAGCATTCACATTCCCCGTCACGCTAGCATTCCCATTCCCCGTCACGCTAGCATTCACATTCCCCGTCACGCTAGCATTCCCATTCCCCGTCACGCTAGCATTCCCATTCCCCGTCACGCTAGCATTCCCATTCCCGTCACGCTAGCATTCACATTCCCCGTCACGCTAGCATTCCCATTCCCCGTCACGCTAGCATTCACATTCCCCGTCACGCTAGCATTCCCATTCCCCGTCACGCTAGCATTCCCATTCCCGTCACGCTAGCATTCCCATTCCCCGTCACGCTAGCATTCCCATTCCCCGTCACGCTAGCATTCACATTCCCCGTCACGCTAGCATTCCCATTCCCCGTCACGCTAGCATTCCCATTCCCCGTCACGCTAGCATTCCCATTCCCCGTCACGCTAGCATTCCCATTCCCCGTCACGCTAGCATTCCCATTCCCCGTCACGCTAGCATTCCCATTCCCCGTCACGCTAGCATTCCCATTCCCCGTCACGCTAGCATTCCCATTCCCCGTCACGCTAGCATTCCCATTCCCCGTCACGCTAGCATTCCCATTCCCCGTCACGCTAGCATTCCCATTCCCCGTCACGCTAGCATTCCCATTCCCCGTCACGCTAGCATTCCCATTCCCCGTCACGCTAGCATTCCCATTCCCCTTCACGCCTAGGCAGTCACATTCCCCGGCATTCCATTCCCCGTCACGCTAGCATTCCCATTCCCCGTCACGCTAGCATTCCCATTCCCCGTCACGCTAGCATTCACATTCCCCGTCACGCTAGCATTCCCATTCCCCGTCACGCTAGCATTCCCATTCCCCGTCACGCTAGCATTCCCATTCCCCGTCACGCTAGCATTCCCATTCCCCGTCACGCTAGCATTCCCATTCCCCGTCACGCTAGCATTCCCATTCCCCGTCACGCTAGCATTCCCATTCCCCGTCACGCTAGCATTCCCATTCCCCGTCACGCTAGCATTCCCATTCCCCGTCACGCTAGCATTCCCATTCCCCGTCACGCTAGCATTCCCATTCCCCGTCACGCTAGCATTCACATTCCCCGTCACGCTAGCATTCCCATTCCCCGTCACGCTAGCATTCACATTCCCCGTCACGCTAGCATTCCCATTCCCCGTCACGCTAGCATTCCCATTCCCCGTCACGCTAGCATTCACATTCCCCGTCACGCTAGCATTCCCATTCCCCGTCACGCTAGCATTCCCATTCCCCGTCACGCTAGCATTCCCATTCCCCGTCACGCTAGCATTCCCATTCCCCGTCACGCTAGCATTCCCATTCCCCGTCACGCTAGCATTCCCATTCCCCGTCACGCTAGCATTCCCATTCCCCGTCACGCTAGCATTCCCATTCCCCGTCACGCTAGCATTCCCATTCCCCGTCACGCTAGCATTCCCATTCCCCGTCACGCTAGCATTCCCATTCCCCGTCACGCTAGCATTCCCATTCCCCGTCACGCTAGCATTCCCATTCCCCGTCACGCTAGCATTCCCATTCCCCGTCACGCTAGCATTCCCATTCCCCGTCACGCTAGCATTCCCATTCCCCGTCACGCTAGCATTCACATTCCCCGTCACGCTAGCATTCCCATTCCCCGTCACGCTAGCATTCCCATTCCCCGTCACGCTAGCATTCCCATTCCCCGTCACGCTAGCATTCACATTCCCCGTCACGCTAGCATTCCCATTCCCCGTCACGCTAGCATTCCCATTCCCCGTCACGCTAGCATTCCCATTCCCCGTCACGCTAGCATTCACATTCCCCGTCACGCTAGCATTCCATTCCCCGTCACGCTAGCATTCCCATTCCCCGTCACGCTAGCATTCCCATTCCCCGTCACGCTAGCATTCACATTCCCCGTCACGCTAGCATTCCCATTCCCCGTCACGCTAGCATTCCCATTCCCCGTCACGCTAGCATTCCCATTCCCCGTCACGCTAGCATTCCCATTCCCCGTCACGCTAGCATTCCCATTCCCCGTCACGCTAGCATTCCCATTCCCCGTCACGCTAGCATTCCCATTCCCCGTCACGCTAGCATTCCCATTCCCCGTCACGCTAGCATTCCCATTCCCCGTCACGCTAGCATTCCCATTCCCCGTCACGCTAGCATTCCCATTCCCCGTCACGCTAGCATTCACATTCCCCGTCACGCTAGCATTCCCATTCCCCGTCACGCTAGCATTCCCATTCCCCGTCACGCTAGCATTCACATTCCCCGTCACGCTAGCATTCCCATTCCCCGTCACGCTAGCATTCCCATTCCCCGTCACGCTAGCATTCCCATTCCCCGTCACGCTAGCATTCCCATTCCCCGTCACGCTAGCATTCCCATTCCCCGTCACGCTAGCATTCCCATTCCCCGTCACGCTAGCATTCACATTCCCCGTCACGCTAGCATTCCCATTCCCCGTCACGCTAGCATTCCCATTCCCCGTCACGCTAGCATTCCCATTCCCCGTCACGCTAGCATCCCATTCCCCGTCACGCTAGCATTCCCATTCGTCACGCTAGCATTCCCATTCCCCGTCACGCTAGCATTCACATTCCCCGTCACGCTAGCATTCCCATTCCCCGTCACGCTAGCATTCCCATTCCCCGTCACGCTAGCATTCCCATTCCCCGTCACGCTAGCATTCCCATTCCCCGTCACGCTAGCATTCCCATTCCCCGTCACGCTAGCATTCCCATTCCCCGTCACGCTAGCATTCACATTCCCCGTCACGCTAGCATTCCCATTCCCCGTCACGCTAGCATTCCCATTCCCCGTCACGCTAGCATTCCCATTCCCCGTTCACGCTAGCATTCCCATTCCCCGTCACGCTAGCATTCCCATTCCCCGTCACGCTAGCATTCCCATTCCCCGTCACGCTAGCATTCCCATTCCCCGTCACGCTAGCATTCCCATTCCCCGTCACGCTAGCATTCCCATTCCCCGTCACGCTAGCATTCCCATTCCCCGTCACGCTAGCATTCCCATTCCCCGTCACGCTAGCATTCCCATTCCCCGTCACGCTAGCATTCCCATTCCCCGTCACGCTAGCATTCCCATTCCCCGTCACGCTAGCATTCCCATTCCCCGTCACGCTAGCATTCCCATTCCCCGTCACGCTAGCATTCCCATTCCCCGTCACGCTAGCATTCCCATTCCCCCGTCACGCTAGCATTCCCATTCCCCGTCACGCTAGCATTCACATTCCCCGTCACGCTAGCATTCCCATTCCCCGTCACGCTAGCATTCACCATTCCCCGTCACGCTAGCATTCCCAATTCCCCGTCACGCTAGCATTCCCATTCCCCGTCACGCTAGCATTCCCATTCCCCGTCACGCTAGCATTCCCATTCCCCGTCACGCTAGCATTCACATTCCCCGTCACGCTAGCATTCCATTCCCCGTCACGCTAGCATTCCCATTCCCCGTCACGCTAGCATTCCCATTCCCCGTCACGCTAGCATTCCCATTCCCCGTCACGCTAGCATTCCCATTCCCCGTCACGCTAGCATTCCCATTCCCCGTCACGCTAGCATTCCCATTCCCCGTCACGCTAGCATTCACATTCCCCGTCACGCTAGCATTCCCATTCCCGTCACGCTAGCATTCACATTCCCGTCACGCTAGCATTCCCATTCCCCGTCACGCTAGCATTCCCATTCCCCGTCACGCTAGCATTCCCATTCCCCGTCACGCTAGCATTCCCATTCCCCGTCACGCTAGCATTCCCATTCCCCGTCACGCTAGCATTCCATTCCCCGTCACGCTAGCATTCACATTCCCCGGTCACGCTAGCATTCCCATTCCCCGTCACGCTAGCATTCCCATTCCCCGTCACGCTAGCATTCCCATTCCCCGTCACGCTAGCATTCCCATTCCCCGTCACGCTAGCATTCCCATTCCCCGTCACGCTAGCATTCCCATTCCCCGTCACGCTAGCATTCCCATTCCCCGTCACGCTAGCATTCCCATTCCCCGTCACGCTAGCATTCCCATTCCCCGTCACGCTAGCATTCCCATTCCCCGTCACGCTAGCATTCCCATTCCCCGTCACGCTAGCATTCCCATTCCCCGTCACGCTAGCATTCCCATTCCCCGTCACGCTAGCATTCCCATTCCCCGTCACGCTAGCATTCCCATTCCCCGTCACGCTAGCATTCCCATTCCCCGTCACGCTAGCATTCCCATTCCCCGTCACGCTAGCATTCCCATTCCCCGTCACGCTAGCATTCCCATTCCCCGTCACGCTAGCATTCCCATTCCCCGTCACGCTAGCATTCCCATTCCCCGTCACGCTAGCATTCCCATTCCCCGTCACGCTAGCATTCCCATTCCCCGTCACGCTAGCATTCCCATTCCCCGTCACGCTAGCATTCCCATTCCCCGTCACGCTAGCATTCCCATTCCCCGTCACGCTAGCATTCCCATTCCCCGTCACGCTAGCATTCCCATTCCCCGTCACGCTAGCATTCCCATTCCCCGTCACGCTAGCATTCCCATTCCCCGTCACGCTAGCATTCCCATTCCCCGTCACGCTAGCATTCCCATTCCCCGTCACGCTAGCATTCCCATTCCCCGTCACGCTAGCATTCACATTCCCCGTCACGCTAGCATTCCCATTCCCCGTCACGCTAGCATTCCCATTCCCCGTCACGCTAGCATTCCCATTCCCCGTCACGCTAGCATTCCCATTCCCCGTCACGCTAGCATTCCCATTCCCCGTCACGCTAGCATTCCCATTCCCCGTCACGCTAGCATTCCCATTCCCCGTCACGCTAGCATTCCCATTCCCCGTCACGCTAGCATTCCCATTCCCCGTCACGCTAGCATTCCATTCCCCGTCACGCTAGCATTCCCATTCCCCGTCACGCTAGCATTCCCATTCCCCGTCACGCTAGCATTCCCATTCCCCGTCACGCTAGCATTCCCATTCCCCGTCACGCTAGCATTCACATTCCCCGTCACGCTAGCATTCCCATTCCCCGTCACGCTAGCATTCCCATTCCCCGTCACGCTAGCATTCCCATTCCCCGTCACGCTAGCATTCCCATTCCCCGTCACGCTAGCATTCCCATTCCCCGTCACGCTAGCATTCCCATTCCCCGTCACGCTAGCATTCCCATTCCCCGTCACGCTAGCATTCCCATTCCCCGTCACGCTAGCATTCCCATTCCCCGTCACGCTAGCATTCCCATTCCCCGTCACGCTAGCATTCCCATTCCCCGTCACGCTAGCATTCCCATTCCCCGTCACGCTAGCATTCCCATTCCCCGTCACGCTAGCATTCCATTCCCCGTCACGCTAGCATTCCCATTCCCCGTCACGCTAGCATTCCCATTCCCCGTCACGCTAGCATTCCCATTCCCCGTCACGCTAGCATTCCCATTCCCCGTCACGCTAGCATTCCCATTCCCCGTCACGCTAGCATTCCCATTCCCCGTCACGCTAGCATTCCCATTCCCCGTCACGCTAGCATTCCCATTCCCCGTCACGCTAGCATTCCCATTCCCCGTCACGCTAGCATTCCCATTCCCCGTCACGCTAGCATTCCCATTCCCCGTCACGCTAGCATTCCCATTCCCCGTCACGCTAGCATTCCCATTCCCCGTCACGCTAGCATTCACATTCCCCGTCACGCTAGCATTCCCATTCCCCGTCACGCTAGCATTCACATTCCCCGTCACGCTAGCATTCCCATTCCCCGTCACGCTAGCATTCCCATTCCCCGTCACGCTAGCATTCCCATTCCCCGTCACGCTAGCATTCCCATTCCCCGTCACGCTAGCATTCCCATTCCCCGTCACGCTAGCATTCCCATTCCCCGTCACGCTAGCATTCACATTCCCCGTCACGCTAGCATTCCCATTCCCCGTCACGCTAGCATTCCCATTCCCCGTCACGCTAGCATTCCCATTCCCCGTCACGCTAGCATTCCCATTCCCCGTCACGCTAGCATTCCCATTCCCCGTCACGCTAGCATTCCCATTCCCCGTCACGCTAGCATTCCCATTCCCCGTCACGCTAGCATTCCCATTCCCCGTCACGCTAGCATTCCCATTCCCCGTCACGCTAGCATTCCCATTCCCCGTCACGCTAGCATTCACATTCCCCGTCACGCTAGCATTCCCATTCCCCGTCACGCTAGCATTCCCATTCCCCGTCACGCTAGCATTCCCATTCCCCGTCACGCTAGCATTCCCATTCCCCGTCACGCTAGCATTCCCATTCCCCGTCACGCTAGCATTCCCATTCCCCGTCACGCTAGCATTCCCATTCCCCGTCACGCTAGCATTCCCATTCCCCGTCACGCTAGCATTCCCATTCCCCGTCACGCTAGCATTCCCATTCCCCGTCACGCTAGCATTCCCATTCCCCGTCACGCTAGCATTCCCATTCCCCGTCACGCTAGCATTCCCATTCCCCGTCACGCTAGCATTCCCATTCCCCGTCACGCTAGCATTCCCATTCCCCGTCACGCTAGCATTCCCATTCCCCGTCACGCTAGCATTCCCATTCCCCGTCACGCTAGCATTCCCATTCCCCGTCACGCTAGCATTCCCATTCCCCGTCACGCTAGCATTCCCATTCCCCGTCACGCTAGCATTCACATTCCCCGTCACGCTAGCATTCCCATTCCCCGTCACGCTAGCATTCCCATTCCCCGTCACGCTAGCATTCCCATTCCCCGTCACGCTAGCATTCCCATTCCCCGTCACGCTAGCATTCCCATTCCCCGTCACGCTAGCATTCCCATTCCCCGTCACGCTAGCATTCACATTCCCCGTCACGCTAGCATTCCCATTCCCCGTCACGCTAGCATTCCCATTCCCCGTCACGCTAGCATTCACATTCCCCGTCACGCTAGCATTCCCATTCCCCGTCACGCTAGCATTCCCATTCCCCGTCACGCTAGCATTCCCATTCCCCGTCACGCTAGCATTCACATTCCCCGTCACGCTAGCATTCCCATTCCCCGTCACGCTAGCATTCACATTCCCCGTCACGCTAGCATTCCCATTCCCCGTCACGCTAGCATTCCCATTCCCCGTCACGCTAGCATTCACATTCCCCGTCACGCTAGCATTCCCATTCCCCGTCACGCTAGCATTCCCATTCCCCGTCACGCTAGCATTCCCATTCCCCGTCACGCTAGCATTCCCATTCCCCGTCACGCTAGCATTCACATTCCCATCCCGTCACGCTAGCATTCCATTCCCCGTCACGCTAGCATTCCCATTCCCCGTCACGCTAGCATTCCCATTCCCCGTCCCGCTAGCATTCACATTCCCCGTCACGCTAGCATTCCCATTCCCCGTCACGCTAGCATTCCCATTTCCCCGTCACGCTAGCATTCACATTCCCGTCACGCTAGCATTCCCATTCCCCGTCACGCTAGCATTCCCATTCCCCGTCACGCTAGCATTCCCATTCCCCGTCACGCTAGCATTCCATTCCCCGTCACGCTAGCATTCACCATTCCCCGTCACGCTAGCATTCCCATTCCCCGTCACGCTAGCATTCACATTCCCCGTCACGCTAGCATTCCCATTCCCCGTCACGCTAGCATTCCCATTCCCCGTCACGCTAGCATTCCCATTCCCCGTCACGCTAGCATTCCCATTCCCCGTCACGCTAGCATTCCCATTCCCCGTCACGCTAGCATTCCCATTCCCCGTCACGCTAGCATTCCCATTCCCCGTCACGCTAGCATTCCCATTCCCCGTCACGCTAGCATTCCCATTCCCCGTCACGCTAGCATTCCCATTCCCCGTCACGCTAGCATTCCCATTCCCCGTCACGCTAGCATTCCCATTCCCCGTCACGCTAGCATTCCCATTCCCCGTCACGCTAGCATTCCCATTCCCCGTCACGCTAGCATTCCCATTCCCCGTCACGCTAGCATTCACATTCCCCGTCACGCTAGCATTCCATTCCCCGTCACGCTAGCATTCCCATTCCCCGTCACGCTAGCATTCCCATTCCCCGTCACGCTAGCATTCCCATTCCCCGTCACGCTAGCATTCCCATTCCCCGTCACGCTAGCATTCCCATTCCCCGTCACGCTAGCATTCCCATTCCCCGTCACGCTAGCATTCCCATTCCCCGTCACGCTAGCATTCACATTCCCCGTCACGCTAGCATTCCCATTCCCCGTCACGCTAGCATTCACATTCCCCGTCACGCTAGCATTCCCATTCCCCGTCACGCTAGCATTCCCATTCCCCGTCACGCTAGCATTCCCATTCCCCGTCACGCTAGCATTCCCATTCCCCGTCACGCTAGCATTCCCATTCCCCGTCACGCTAGCATTCCCATTACCCGTCACGCTAGCATTCCCATTCCCAGTCCCATTCCATCCCCGTCACGCTAGCATTCCCATTCCCCGTCACGCTAGCATTCACATTCCCCGTCACGCTAGCATTCCCATTCCCCGTCACGCTAGCATTCCCATTCCCCGTCACGCTAGCATTCCCATTCCCCGTCACGCTAGCATTCCCATTCCCCGTCACGCTAGCATTCCCATTCCCCGTCACGCTAGCATTCACATTCCCCGTCACGCTAGCATTCCCATTCCCCGTCACGCTTAGCATTCCCATTCCCCGTTCACGCTGCTACCTTCCCCGTCACGCTAGCATTCCCATTCCCCGTCACGCTAGCATTCCCCATTCCCCCGTCACGCTAGCATCACATTCCCCGTCACGCTAGCATTCCCATTCCCCGTCACGCTAGCATTCCCATTCCCCGTCACGCTAGCATTCCCATTCCCCGTCACGCTAGCATTCACATTCCCCGTCACGCTAGCATTCCCATTCCCCGTCACGCTAGCATTCCCATTCCCCGTCACGCTAGCATTCCCATTCCCCGTCACGCTAGCATTCCCATTCCCCGTCACGCTAGCATTCCCATTCCCCGTCACGCTAGCATTCCCATTCCCAGTCACGCTAGCATTCCCATTCCCCGTCACGCTAGCATTCCCATTCCCCGTCACGCTAGCATTCCCATTCCCCGTCACGCTAGCATTCCCATTCCCCGTCACGCTAGCATTCCCATTCCCCGTCACGCTAGCATTCCCATTCCCCGTCACGCTAGCATTCCCATTCCCCGTCACGCTAGCATTCCCATTCCCCGTCACGCTAGCATTCCCATTCCCCGTCACGCTAGCATTCCCATTTCCCCGTCACGCTAGCATTCCCATTCCCCGTCACGCTAGCATTCCCATTCCCCGTCACGCTAGCATTCCCATTCCCCGTCACGCTAGCATTCACATTTCCCCGTCACGCTAGCATTCCCATTCCCCGTCACGCTAGCATTCCCATTCCCCGTCACGCTAGCATTCCCATTCCCCGTCACGCTAGCATTCCCATTCCCCGTCACGCTAGCATTCACATTCCCCGTCACGCTAGCATTCCCATTCCCCGTCACGCTAGCATTCCCATTCCCCGTCACGCTAGCATTCACATTCCCCGTCACGCTAGCATTCCCATTCCCCGTCACGCTAGCATTCCCATTCCCCGTCACGCTAGCATTCCCATTCCCCGTCACGCTAGCATTCCCATTCCCCGTCACGCTAGCATTCCCATTCCCCGTCACGCTAGCATTCCCATTCCCCGTCACGCTAGCATTCCCATTCCCCGTCACGCTAGCATCCATTCCCCGTCACGCTAGCATTTCCCATTCCCGTCACGCTAGCATTCCCATTCCCCGTCACGCTAGCATTCCCATTCCCCGTCACGCTAGCATTCCCATTCCCCGTCACGCTAGCATTCCCATTCCCCGTCACGCTAGCATTCCCATTCCCCGTCACGCTAGCATTCCCATTCCCCGTCACGCTAGCATTCCCATTCCCCGTCACGCTAGCATTCCCATTCCCCGTCACGCTAGCATTCCCATTCCCCGTCACGCTAGCATTCCCATTCCCCGTCACGCTAGCATTCCCATTCCCCGTCACGCTAGCATTCCCATTCCCCGTCACGCTAGCATTCCCATTCCCCGTCACGCTAGCATTCACATTCCCCGTCACGCTAGCATTCCCATTCCCCGTCACGCTAGCATTCCCATTCCCCGTCACGCTAGCATTCCCATTCCCCGTCACGCTAGCATTCCCATTCCCCGTCACGCTAGCATTCCCATTCCCCGTCACGCTAGCATTCCCATTCCCCGTCACGCTAGCATTCCCATTCCCCGTCACGCTAGCATTCCCATTCCCCGTCACGCTAGCATTCCCATTCCCCGTCACGCTAGCATTCACATTCCCCGTCACGCTAGCATTCCCATTCCCCGTCACGCTAGCATTCCCATTCCCCGTCACGCTAGCATTCCCATTCCCCGTCACGCTAGCATTCACATTCCCCGTCACGCTAGCATTCCCATTCCCCGTCACGCTAGCATTCCCATTCCCCGTCACGCTAGCATTCCCATTCCCCGTCACGCTAGCATTCCCATTCCCCGTCACGCTAGCATTCCCATTCCCCGTCACGCTAGCATTCCCATTCCCCGTCACGCTAGCATTCCCATTCCCCGTCACGCTAGCATTCCCATTCCCCGTCACGCTAGCATTCCCATTCCCCGTCACGCTAGCATTCACATTCCCCGTCACGCTAGCATTCCCATTCCCCGTCACGCTAGCATTCACATTCCCCGTCACGCTAGCATTCCCATTCCCCGTCACGCTAGCATTCCCATTCCCCGTCACGCTAGCATTCCCATTCCCCGTCACGCTAGCATTCCCATTCCCCGTCACGCTAGCATTCCCATTCCCCGTCACGCTAGCATTCCCATTCCCCGTCACGCTAGCATTCACCATTCCCCGTCACGCTAGCATTTCACATTCCCCGTCACGCTAGCATTCCCATTCCCCGTCACGCTAGCATTCCCATTCCCCGTCACGCTAGCATTCCCATTCCCCGTCACGCTAGCATTCCCATTCCCCGTCACGCTAGCATTCCCATTCCCCGTCACGCTAGCATTCCCATTCCCCGTCACGCTAGCATTCCCATTCCCCGTCACGCTAGCATTCCCATTCCCCGTCACGCTAGCATTCCCATTCCCCGTCACGCTAGCATTCCCATTCCCCGTCACGCTAGCATTCCCATTCCCCGTCACGCTAGCATTCCATTCCCCGTCACGCTAGCATTCCCATTCCCCGTCACGCTAGCATTCCCATTCCCCGTCACGCTAGCATTCACATTCCCCGTCACGCTAGCATTCCCATTCCCCGTCACGCTAGCATTCACATTCCCCGTCACGCTAGCATTCCCATTCCCCGTCACGCTAGCATTCCCATTCCCCGTCACGCTAGCATTCCCATTCCCCGTCACGCTAGCATTCCCATTCCCCGTCACGCTAGCATTCCCATTCCCCGTCACGCTAGCATTCCCATTCCCCGTCACGCTAGCATTCCCATTCCCCGTCACGCTAGCATTCCCATTCCCCGTCACGCTAGCATTCACATTCCCCGTCACGCTAGCATTCCCATTCCCCGTCACGCTAGCATTCACATTCCCCGTCACGCTAGCATTCCCATTCCCCCGTCACGCTAGCATTCCCATTCCCCGTCACGCTAGCATTCCCATTCCCCGTCACGCTAGCATTCCCATTCCCCGTCACGCTAGCATTCCCATTCCCCGTCACGCTAGCATTCCCATTCCCCGTCACGCTAGCATTCACATTCCCCGTCACGCTAGCATTCCCATTCCCCGTCACGCTAGCATTCACATTCCCCGTCACGCTAGCATTCCCATTCCCCGTCACGCTAGCATTCCCATTCCCCGTCACGCTAGCATTCCATTCCCCGTCACGCTAGCATTCCCATTCCCCGTCACGCTAGCATTCCCATTCCCCGTCACGCTAGCATTCCCATTCCCCGTCACGCTAGCATTCCCATTCCCCGTCACGCTAGCATTCCCATTCCCCGTCACGCTAAGCATTCCCATTCCCCGTCACGCTAGCATTCCCATTCCCCGTCACGCTAGCATTCCCATTCCCCGTCACGCTAGCATTCACATTCCCCGTCACGCTAGCATTCCCATTCCCCGTCACGCTAGCATTCCCATTCCCCGTCACGCTAGCATTCCCATTCCCCGTCACGCTAGCATTCCCATTCCCCGTCACGCTAGCATTCCCATTCCCCGTCACGCTAGCATTCCCATTCCCCGTCACGCTAGCATTCCCATTCCCCGTCACGCTAGCATTCCCATTCCCCGTCACGCTAGCATTCCCATTCCCCGTCACGCTAGCATTCCCATTCCCCGTCACGCTAGCATTCCCATTCCCCGTCACGCTAGCATTCCCATTCCCCGTCACGCTAGCATTCCCATTCCCCGTCACGCTAGCATTCCCATTCCCCGTCACGCTAGCATTCCCATTCCCCGTCACGCTAGCATTCCCATTCCCCGTCACGCTAGCATTCCCATTCCCCGTCACGCTAGCATTCCCATTCCCCGTCACGCTAGCATTCCCATTCCCCGTCACGCTAGCATTCACATTCCCCGTCACGCTAGCATTCCCATTCCCCGTCACGCTAGCATTCACATTCCCCGTCACGCTAGCATTCCCATTCCCCGTCACGCTAGCATTCCATTCCCCGTCACGCTAGCATTCCCATTCCCGTCACGCTAGCATTCCCATTCCCCGTCACGCTAGCATTCCCATTCCCCGTCACGCTAGCATTCCCATTCCCCGTCACGCTAGCATTCCCATTCCCCGTCACGCTAGCATTCCCATTCCCCGTCACGCTAGCATTCCCATTCCCCGTCACGCTAGCATTCACATTCCCCGTCACGCTAGCATTCCCATTCCCCGTCACGCTAGCATTCACATTCCCCGTCACGCTAGCATTCCCATTCCCCGTCACGCTAGCATTCCCATTCCCCGTCACGCTAGCATTCCCATTCCCCGTCACGCTAGCATTCCCATTCCCCGTCACGCTAGCATTCCCATTCCCCGTCACGCTAGCATTCCCATTCCCCGTCACGCTAGCATTCCCATTCCCCGTCACGCTAGCATTCCCATTCCCCGTCACGCTAGCATTCACATTCCCCGTCACGCTAGCATTCCCATTCCCCGTCACGCTAGCATTCCCATTCCCCGTCACGCTAGCATTCCCATTCCCCGTCACGCTAGCATTCCCATTCCCCGTCACGCTAGCATTCACATTCCCCGTCACGCTAGCATTCACATTCCCCGTCACGCTAGCATTCCCATTCCCCGTCACGCTAGCATTCCCATTCCCCGTCACGCTAGCATTCCCATTCCCCGTCACGCTAGCATTCCCATTCCCCGTCACGCTAGCATTCCCATTCCCCGTCACGCTAGCATTCCCATTCCCCGTCACGCTAGCATTCCCATTCCCCGTCACGCTAGCATTCACATTCCCCGTCACGCTAGCATTCCCATTCCCCGTCACGCTAGCATTCACATTCCCCGTCACGCTAGCATTCCCATTCCCCGTCACGCTAGCATTCCCATTCCCCGTCACGCTAGCATTCCCATTCCCCGTCACGCTAGCATTCCCATTCCCCGTCACGCTAGCATTCCCATTCCCCGTCACGCTAGCATTCCCATTCCCCGTCACGCTAGCATTCCCATTCCCCGTCACGCTAGCATTCCCATTCCCCGTCACGCTAGCATTCACATTCCCCGTCACGCTAGCATTCCCATTCCCCGTCACGCTAGCATTCCCATTCCCCGTCACGCTAGCATTCCCATTCCCCGTCACGCTAGCATTCCCATTCCCCCGTCACGCTAGCATTCACATTCCCCGTCACGCTAGCATTCACATTCCCCGTCACGCTAGCATTCACCATTCCCCGTCACGCTAGCATTCCCATTCCCCGTCACGCTAGCATTCCCATTCCCCGTCACGCTAGCATTTCACATTCCCCGTCACGCTAGCATTCCCATTCCCCGTCACGCTAGCATTCACATTCCCCGTCACGCTAGCATTCCCATTCCCCGTCACGCTAGCATTCACATTCCCCGTCACGCTAGCATTCCCATTCCCCGTCACGCTAGCATTCACATTCCCCGTCACGCTAGCATTCCCATTCCCCGTCACGCTAGCATTCACATTCCCCGTCACGCTAGCATTCCCATTCCCCGTCACACTAGCATTCACATTCCCCGTCACGCTAGCATTCCCATTCCCAGTCACGCTAGCATTCACATTCCCCGTCACGCTAGCATTCCCATTCCCCGTCACGCTAGCATTCCCATTCCCCGTCACACTAGCATTCACATTCCCCGTCACGCTAGCATTCCCATTCCCAGTCACGCTAGCATTCACATTCCCCGTCACGCTAGCATTCCCATTCCCCGTCACACTAGCATTCACATTCCCCGTCACGCTAGCATTCCCATTCCCAGTCACGCTAGCATTCACATTCCCCGTCACGCTAGCATTCCCATTCCACGTCACGCTAGCATTCCCATTCCCCGTCACGCTAGCATTCCCATTCCCCGTCACGCTAGCATTCCCATTCCCCGTCACGCTAGCATTCCCATTCCCCGTCACGCTAGCATTCCCATTCCCCGTCACGCTAGCATTCACATTCCCCGTCACGCTAGCATTCACATTCCCCGTCACGCTAGCATTCCCATTCCCCGTCACGCTAGCATTCCCATTCCCCGTCACGCTAGCATTCCCATTCCCCGTCACGCTAGCATTCCCATTCCCCGTCACGCTAGCATTCCCATTCCCGTCACGCTAGCATTCCCATTCCCCGTCACGCTAGCATTCCCATTCCCCGTCACGCTAGCATTCCATTCCCCGTCACGCTAGCATTCCCATTCCCCGTCACGCTAGCATTCACATTCCCCGTCACGCTAGCATTCACATTCCCCGTCACGCTAGCATTCCCATTCCCCGTCACGCTAGCATTCCCATTCCCCGTCACGCTAGCATTCCATTCCCCGTCACGCTATTCCCTCCGTCACGCTAGCATTCACATTCCCCGTCACGCTAGCATTCCCATTCCCCGTCACGCTAGCATTCCCATTCCCCGTCACGCTAGCATTCCCATTCCCCGTCACGCTAGCATTCCCATTCCCCGTCACGCTAGCATTCACATTCCCCGTCACGCTAGCATTCACATTCCCCGTCACGCTAGCATTCCCATTCCCCGTCACGCTAGCATTCCCATTCCCCGTCACGCTAGCATTCACGTTCCCCGTCACGCTAGCATTCCCATTCCCCGTCACGCTAGCATTCACATTCCCCGTCACGCTAGCATTCACATTCCCCGTCACGCTAGCATTCCCATTCCCCGTCACACTAGCATTCACATTCCCCGTCACGCTAGCATTCCCATTCCCCGTCACGCTAGCATTCCCATTCCCCGTCACGCTAGCATTCACATTCCCCGTCACGCTAGCATTCACATTCCCCGTCACGCTAGCATTCCCATTCCCCGTCACGCTAGCATTCCCATTCCCCGTCACGCTAGCATTCCCATTCCCCGTCACGCTAGCATTCACATTCGCCGTCACGCTAGCATTCCCATTCCCCGTCACACTAGCATTCACATTCCCCGTCACGCTAGCATTCCCATTCCCCGTCACGCTAGCATTCACATTCCCCGTCACGCTAGCATTCCCATTCCCCGTCACGCTAGCATTCACATTCCCCGTCACGCTAGCATTCCCATTCCCCGTCACGCTAGCATTCACATTCCCCGTCACGCTAGCATTCCCATTCCCCGTCACACTAGCATTCACATTCCCCGTCACGCTAGCATTCCCATTCCCCGTCACGCTAGCATTCACATTCCCCGTCACGCTAGCATTCCCATTCCCCGTCACGCTAGCATTCCCATTCCCCGTCACGCTAGCATTCCCATTCCCCGTCACGCTAGCATTCCCATTCCCCGTCACGCTAGCATTCCCATTCCCCGTCACGCTAGCATTCACATTCCCCGTCACGCTAGCATTCCCATTCCCCGTCACGCTAGCATTCACATTCCCCGTCACGCTAGCATTCCCATTCCCCGTCACGCTAGCATTCACATTCCCCGTCACGCTAGCATTCCCATTCCCCGTCACGCTAGCATTCACATTCCCCGTCACGCTAGCATTCCCATTCCCCGTCACGCTAGCATTCACATTCCCCGTCACGCTAGCATTCCCATTCCCCGTCACGCTAGCATTCACATTCCCCGTCACGCTAGCATTCCCATTCCCCGTCACACTAGCATTCACATTCCCCGTCACGCTAGCATTCCCATTCCCAGTCACGCTAGCATTCACATTCCCCGTCACGCTAGCATTCCCATTCCCCGTCACGCTAGCATTCCCATTCCCCGTCACACTAGCATTCACATTCCCCGTCACGCTAGCATTCACATTCCCCGTCACGCTAGCATTCCCATTCCCCGTCACGCTAGCATTCACATTCCCCGTCACGCTAGCATTCCCATTCCCAGTCACGCTAGCATTCACATTCCCCGTCACGCTAGCATTCCCATTCCCCGTCACACTAGCATTCACATTCCCCGTCACGCTAGCATTCCCATTCCCCGTCACGCTAGCATTCCCATTCCCCGTCACGCTAGCATTCACATTCCCCGTCACGCTAGCATTCACATTCCCCGTCACGCTAGCATTCCCATTCCCCGTCACGCTAGCATTCACATTCCCCGTCACGCTAGCATTCCCATTCCCAGTCACGCTAGCATTCACATTCCCCGTCACGCTAGCATTCCCATTCCCCGTCACACTAGCATTCACATTCCCCGTCACGCTAGCATTCCCATTCCCCGTCACGCTAGCATTCCCATTCCCCGTCACGCTAGCATTCACATTCCCCGTCACGCTAGCATTCACATTCCCCGTCACGCTAGCATTCCCCATTCCCCGTCACGCTAGCATTCACATTCCCCGTCACGCTAGCATTCCCATTCCCCGTCACGCTAGCATTCCCATTCCCCGTCACGCTAGCATTCCCATTCCCCGTCACGCTAGCATTCACATTCGCCGTCACGCTAGCATTCCCATTCCCCGTCACGCTAGCATTCACATTCCCCGTCACGCTAGCATTCCCATTCCCCGTCACGCTAGCATTCACATTCCCCGTCACGCTAGCATTCCCATTCCCCGTCACGCTAGCATTCCCATTCCCCGTCACGCTAGCATTCACATTCCCCGTCACGCTAGCATTCCCATTCCCCGTCACGCTAGCATTCACATTCCCCGTCACACTAGCATTCACATTCCCCGTCACGCTAGCATTCCCATTCCCCGTCACGCTAGCATTCCCATTCCCCGTCACGCTAGCATTCACATTCCCCGTCACGCTAGCATTCCCATTCCCCGTCACGCTAGCATTCACATTCCCCGTCACGCTAGCATTCACATTCCCAGTCACGCTAGCATTCACATTCCCCGTCACGCTAGCATTCCCATTCCCCGTCACACTAGCATTCCCATTCCCCGTCACGCTAGCATTCCCATTCCCCGTCACGCTAGCATTCACATTCCCCGTCACGCTAGCATTCCCATTCCCCGTCACGCTAGCATTCCCATTCCCCGTCACGCTAGCATTCACATTCCCCGTCACGCTAGCATTCCCATTCCCCGTCACGCTAGCATTCCCATTCCCCGTCACGCTAGCATTCCCATTCCCCGTCACGCTAGCATTCCCATTCCCCGTCACACTAGCATTCCCATTCCCCGTCACGCTAGCATTCACATTCCCCGTCACGCTAGCATTCACATTCCCCGTCACACTAGCATTCACATTCCCCGTCACGCTAGCATTCCCATTCCCCGTCACGCTAGCATTCACATTCCCCGTCACGCTAGCATTCACATTCCCCGTCACGCTAGCATTCCCATTCCCCGTCACGCTAGCATTCACATTCCCCGTCACGCTAGCATTCACATTCCCAGTCACGCTAGCATTCACATTCCCCGTCACGCTAGCATTCCCATTCCCCGTCACACTAGCATTCCCATTCCCCGTCACGCTAGCATTCCCATTCCCCGTCACGCTAGCATTCACATTCCCCGTCACGCTAGCATTCCCATTCCCCGTCACGCTAGCATTCACATTCCCCGTCACGCTAGCATTCCCATTCCCCGTCACGCTAGCATTCACATTCCCCGTCACGCTAGCATTCCCATTCCCCGTCACGCTAGCATTCCCATTCCCCGTCACACTAGCATTCCCATTCCCCGTCACGCTAGCATTCCCATTCCCCGTCACGCTAGCATTCACATTCCCCGTCACGCTAGCATTCACATTCCCAGTCACGCTAGCATTCACATTCCCCGTCACGCTAGCATTCCCATTCCCCGTCACGCTAGCATTCACATTCCCCGTCACGCTAGCATTCCCATTCCCCGTCACGCTAGCATTCCCATTCCCCGTCACACTAGCATTCACATTCCCCGTCACGCTAGCATTCCCATTCCCCGTCACGCTAGCATTCACATTCCCCGTCACGCTAGCATTCCCATTCCCCGTCACACTAGCATTCCCATTCCCCGTCACGCTAGCATTCCCATTCCCCGTCACACTAGCATTCCCATTCCCCGTCACACTAGCATTCCCATTCCCCGTCACGCTAGCATTCCCATTCCCCGTCACGCTAGCATTCCCATTCCCCGTCACGCTAGCATTCACATTCCCCGTCACGCTAGCATTCACATTCCCCGTCACGCTAGCATTCACATTCCCCGTCACGCTAGCATTCCCATTCCCCGTCACACTAGCATTCCCATTCCCCGTCACACTAGCATTCCCATTCCCCGTCACGCTAGCATTCCCATTCCCCGTCACGCTAGCATTCACATTCCCCGTCACGCTAGCATTCACATTCCCCGTCACGCTAGCATTCACATTCCCCGTCACGCTAGCATTCCCATTCACCCACGATAGCCCTCCCCTTCGCCCTCCCTTGCACTCCCCTTCCCCCTCCCTAGCACTCCCCTTCCCCACCGCAATCCCTCCCCTTCCCCCACGCGAGTACTCCCCTTCCCCCTCGCTAGCAAGCCCTCCCCTTCCCCCACTCTCTATCCTCCCATCCACCCACGCTATCCCTCCCCTTCCACCTCCCTTGCACTCCCCTTCCCCCTCCCTAGCACTCCCCTTCCCCCCCGCAAGCCCACCCCTTCCCCCTCCCTAGCACTCCCCTTCCCCCTCCCTAGCACTCCCCTTCCCCCTCTCTAGCACTCGCCTTCCCCCTCTCTAGCAATCTCTTTCCCCCACGCTAGCCCTCCCCTTCCCCCTCCCTAGCATTCCCCTTCCCCCCCGCAAGCCCTCCCTTTCCCCCTCGCAAACCCTCCCATTCCTCTTCGCTTGCAAGCACTCCCCTTCCCCCTCGCAAACCCTCCCCTCCCCCCCACGCTAGCACTCCCCTTCCCCCTCGCAAACCCTCCCCTTCCTCCTCGCTTGCAAGCCCACCCCTTCCCCCACGCTATGTCTCCCCTTCCCCCTCCCAAGCACTCCCCTTCACCCTCCCTAGCACTCCCCTTCCCCCTCTCTAGCAATCCCCTTCCCCCTCTCTAGCAATCCCCTTCCCCCTCCCAAGCATTCCCCTTCCTCCTCGCTTGCAAGCCCACCCCTTCCCCCACGCTATGTCTCCCCTTCCCCCTCCCAAGCACTCCCCTTCCACCTCCCTAGCACTCCCCTTCCCCCTCTCTGGCATTCCCCTTCCCCCTCTCTAGCAATCTCTTTCCCCCACGCTAGCCCTCCCCTTCCCCCTCCCTAGCACTCCCGTTCCCCCCCACAAGCCCTCCCCTTCCCCCACGCCAGCACTCCCCTTCCCCCTCGCAAACCCTCCCCTTCCTCCTCGCTTGCTAGCACTCCCCCTCCCCCTCGCAAACCCTCCCCTTCCCCCACGCTAGCACCCCCCTTCCCCCTCGCAAACCCTCCCCTTCCACCTCGCTTGCAAGCATTCCCCCTCCCACTCGCAAACCCTCCCCTTCCTCCTCGCTTGCAAGCACTCCCCCTCCCCCTCGCAAACCCTCCGCTTCCCCCACGCTAGCACTCCCCTTCCCCCCCCGCAAGCCCACCCCTTCCCCCTCCCTAGCACTCCCCTTCCCCCTCCCTAGCACTCCCCTTCCCCCTCTCTAGCACTCGCCTTCCCCCTCTCTAGCAATCGAGTGCCCCCACGCTAGCACTCCCCTTCCCCCTCCCTAGCACTCCCCTTCCCCCCCGCAAGCCCACCCCTTCCCCCTCCCTAGCACTCCCCTTCCCCCTCCCTAGCACTCCCCTTCCCCCTCTCTAGCACTCGCCTTCCCCCTCTCTAGCAATCGAGTGCCCCCACGCTAGCACTCCCCTTCCCCCTCCCTAGCACTCCCCTTCCCCCTCCCTAGCACTCCCCTCCCCTTCCCCCTCGCTAGCAAGCCCTCCCCTTCCCCCGCTCTAGCACTCTCCCAACTCCACGCTAGCCCTCCCCTTCCCCCTCCCTAGCACTCGCCTCCCCCCCGCAAGCCCTCCCCTTCCCCCACGCTATCACTCCCCTTCCCCCTCGCAAACCCTCCCCTTCCTCCTCGCTTGCAAGCACTCCCCGTCCCCCTCGCAAACCCTCCCCTTCCCCCACGCTAGCACTCCCCTTCTCCCTCCCAAGCATTCCCCTTCATCCTCGCTAGCAAGCCCACCCGTTCCCCCACGCTATGTCTTCCCTTCCCCCTCCCAAGCACTCCCCTTCCCCCTCCCAAGCACTCCCCTTCCTCTTCGCTTGCAAGCACTTCCCTTCCCTCTCGCAAACCCTCCCCTTCCCCTTCCCTAGCACTCCCCTTCCCCCTCCCTAGCACTCCCCTTCCCCACCGCCAGCCCCCACCTTCCCCCACGCTAGCACTCCTCTTCCCCCTCCCTAGCACTCCCCTTCCCCCTCGCTATCAGGCCCTCCCCTTCCCCCACTATAGCACTCTCCTTCCCCCTCCCTAGCTCTCCCCTTCCCAGGCGCTGCCCTTCCCCTTGTGCCACCATCCCAATCCCCCTCTCATCCTTTCCTCCCTTGCACCACAGTCCCATTCCCCCATTCTTCTCCTCGCCTCCCTTGCAGGGCAGTCCCATGTCCCTTCTACTTTCATCCCTAGTGCCACTGTCCCAATTTAACTTCACCCTTCCTCCCTTGCAGGGCAGTCCCATTTCCCTTCTACTTTCATCCCTAGTGCCACTGTCCCAATTTAACTTCACCCTTCCTCCCTTGTAGGGCAGTCTCATTTCCCTTCTACTTTCATCCCTAGTGCCACTGTCCCAATTTAACTTCACCCTTCTCCCTACCTCCGTTGCAGGGCAGTCCCCTTTCCCTTCTCCTCCTCCAATCCCAAAGGACATCGTCCCAATCCCCCTCTCATCCTTTCCTCCCTTGCACCATAGTCCTACTTCCCCTTACTTCTCCCTCCCTCCCGTGCAGGGCAGTCCCATTTTTTTTCTACTTTCATCCCTTGTGCCACTGCCCCAATCCTTCTCACATCCTTTTCTCCCTTGCAATCTCGTTTTATTCCCCCTTTCATCTCCCCTCCTCCTTTGAAGGGTTGTCCCATTCCCCTAATCCAAGGGGGGGAATCCATGGTGCCACTGTCACAATCCCTGCATCATCCTTTCCTCTCTTGCACTATTGTCCTATTCACCGTTTTTCCTATTTTCCTCCATTGCAAAGCAGTCCCATTTTCCCTCTCCTCCTCTCACCCCTTGTGACACCGTCCCAATCCCTCTCTCATCCTACTGCTCCCTTGAACCACCATCCCGTTCCCCCTTTCTTCTCCCTACCTCACTTGCAGGGCAGTCCCCTTTCTCTTCTCCTACGCTCATCCCTTGTGCCACCGTCCCAATCCCTCTATCATCCTTTCCTCCCTTGCAGTCCCGTTTCATTCTCCCTTTCTTCTCTCTTCCACCCTCCCTCCCCATCTTCCCCTGCGCCCATGTACCCTCTCTGATCCCTGCTCCAATCTCTCTTCCCAATTTCATAGGCTAGCAATCTGGTCGGCACAGCCACGTCGACTGATCTAAGCGTTAAGCTTAGGGAAATGGTCGATGACATCGCCAGGAAGCATAGAACGAAGCAACTGGGAATATGTAGAAATATGCAGGAGCCTGTAGCGCTGCTACGTAGCGGAGCAACGATCATGTTTGGAGGCAATCGGGAGGCCTCATGCGGGGATCTGATCTACCTATACACGCTGGCGGCACCACGCCTCACGAAGAAACTCATGACTGTTGCATCAGAAAAGGGTGAGTAAGTTAGATAAGGGTGTGCTTGCATCAGGATTACGTCGTTCAATGTGTTAGTTTCTTATAAGCCAGCACCCGCACAGCCCGTAGTCCATAGTTCATTCATGCTGCGTTTACTAATAACCCATTGTGCGTCCAGGGACGGACCGGCGTACAGCTGCTACCGTTGCTCGCATGCGGCTCACGGCACATGGACAGGATCTACAGTACGGTGACGCGGATTCAGTCGGCAAGGTGGCTGATCTCATGTGCAAAGCCCCGCGAGCAATGCGCCCTGTAACGTACGGATTCGAGAAATGTTTTTTCAACAGTTCGGGGAAGTTGCAACTCGAGCGTGGCAACAACCATGGGGGGGACCGACGTGGACCCAAGTTCAGACACTTCAAAGAAACAGGTAAAATAATGCGTTAATGGTGTGTATATTTACGTGTACGTTGTCTTGCTGGGCTCGGGAGCGGCAATGTGCGAATGGCATACGTTGAACCCTGTTTTTAACACCCATTAATTGGCAGGAGAACTACTCCAAGACCCACTTGTGCCAGCAGAGAGCGTACCAGGCACGGACGCTGAGGATGCTGCCGTTTTTGTGCTGGAGGAGGACATGTTGCCCTGTGCTGGAGGAGGACATGTTGCCCTGTGCTGGAGGAGGACATGTTGCCCTGTGCTGGAGGAGGACATGTTGCCCTGTGCTGGAGGAGGACATGTTGCCCTGTGCTGGAGGAGGACATGTTGCCCTGTGCTGGAGGAGGACATGTTGCCCTGTGCTGGAGGAGGACATGTTGCCCTGTGCTGGAGGAGGACATGTTGCCCTGTGCTGGAGGAGGACATGTTGCCCTGTGCTGGAGGAGGACATGTTGCCCTGTGCTGGAGGAGGACATGTTGCCCTGTGCTGGAGGAGGACATGTTGCCCTGTGCTGGAGGAGGACATGTTGCCCTGTGCTGGAGGAGGACATGTTGCCCTGTGCTGGAGGAGGACATGTTGCCCTGTGCTGGAGGAGGACATGTTGCCCTGTGCTGGAGGAGGACATGTTGCCCTGTGCTGGAGGAGGACATGTTGCCCTGTGCTGGAGGAGGACATGTTGCCCTGTGCTGGAGGAGGACATGTTGCCCTGTGCTGGAGGAGGACATGTTGCCCTGTGCTGGAGGAGGACATGTTGCCCTGTGCTGGAGGAGGACATGTTGCCCTGTGCTGGAGGAGGACATGTTGCCCTGTGCTGGAGGAGGACATGTTGCCCTGTGCTGGAGGAGGACATGTTGCCCTGTGCTGGAGGAGGACATGTTGCCCTGTGCTGGAGGAGGACATGTTGCCCTGTGCTGGAGGAGGACATGTTGCCCTGTGCTGGAGGAGGACATGTTGCCCTGTGCTGGAGGAGGACATGTTGCCCTGTGCTGGAGGAGGACATGTTGCCCTGTGCTGGAGGAGGACATGTTGCCCTGTGCTGGAGGAGGACATGTTGCCCTGTGCTGGAGGAGGACATGTTGCCCTGTGCTGGAGGAGAGGACATGTTGCCCTGTGCTGGAGGAGGACATGTTGCCCTCTGCTGTGCTGCGCCATGGCCAGCAAGAGGCTCCTCTACCACGTGCTCTCCTTCTCCGTGAGTCATACGCTGCTCTGCTCCTCACTGCACTTGCTCTGCCCTGCACGTCCTCTCCTTCTCCGTGAGTCTGCTCTGCTTGCTTGGCGCTTGACTTAGTTTGCACCTAAAACTAGTTCTGAGACACCTAAAAAACAGACCCCTAGTTGTCTCCTTCTCCGTGGGTACTGGCTTGCTTTCCACTTACTATTTACATTTGGCGTGTGTTTATAAAGCCTTGTTGCGAGTTCTCTGCATGAGGCACGAGCAGCAGCCTATCTGACAAACAACTCCGTTCCCATCACATACCTTCCAGCCAACCAGCCTTCACGCTCTCTTCTCCTATCCCGTCCCTCTCTCTCTGCAGGCCCACCACCCCATCACGCTGGTATACAACGAGCTACACCCCGAGTGGATCAAGAGCGTCGAATACTTTCTGCGCTGGCGCGGCCGCCTCAGGTCCCTCGCTCTCACCTACACCAACTTCAAGCAGCTCGACTACCTTTGCTCGCCGCTCAACCGCCCCTTCGCCTCCCTCACCTCCCTCACTCTCAAACTCCGCGGCTGTGTCGACAAATCCTACCTGTATGACGACCTGCCCGAGGACTGTGAGGACGATGGGGACGAAATGTTCTGGGTGCATGCATTTGACTGCCCGGCGCTGCAGCGGCTGAAGCTCGGCCGGGGCAAGTGGAATCTCCAGGAGGAAGGCTGGGCTGAGGAGTACCAGTCGCTGCGCAGCTTGACTCTCAAACACGTGGACTGGAGCTATGTGGATGTTGAGTATCTCGGCACGGTCACGCCACGGCTCACGGAATTCACGCTCTATCACAGCTGGAGTTTGGACCGCCCGTCGTCCGGCCCTGGTGGTGGGGGCGAATTCCGTTTCGACTTGTCCAAGGCTCAAACCGTCCGGTTTTACTTCCCGCAGAGAACCCTCACGCTCTTCCTCACCCTCTCTCGCTCGCTCAAAACCTTCACTGCGATGGCAAAGAAGCTTGTGCTCTCTTGCAAGAGCGGCACCCCTCTCGCTCTCCACCACCTCTCGCTGTACGGCCAGCAGCGGCTTGTCATTTCCTCCCTCCACCTCGCTTCCGCACGAGTTGCCTACCTCAACGGCCCTCCCAAAGACCACCACTCACGCAATGAACTGGACTCTCCTGAATTGTCCCCTGAATCTTCTCCGGAATTCTCCTGGGCCGAATGGCTGCGCACTATAGCGCCAACAGTGGAGGTGCTTATAGTGAGGCATGGGGTGCATGTAGAGGGGGTTGACGCGGAGTGGAGCAGCCTGCGCAGCCTTGGGATTGTCGTGGAGAGTGAGGAGCGGTTTGAGGTGGATTTGAAGGTTGAGAAGCGTCGGGATGATGGTGAAAAGGAGGTTACAGTGGAGGAATATCAGGAGCGCAATGAGAGGCTTTCGCAGCAGCAGCGGCAGCAGGAGCAGCAGCGGCAGCAGCAGTGGCAGCAGCGGCAGCAGCAGTGGCAGCAGCGGCAGCAGCAATGGCAGCAGCGGCAGCAGCAATGGCAGCAGCAGCAGCAGCAGCTTTTGCAGCAGCAGGGGCAGCAGCAGCAGCAGCAGCAGCAGCCTTTGCAGCAGCAGGGGCAGCAGCAGCAGCAGCAGCAGCAGCAGCAGGAGGAGGAGGAGAAAGAGGAGGAGCAGCAGCAAGACGTAAGACCTCTGTTTATCTTGGCTCCAAACTTGCGAGCAATCTTCTTCCCCACCCGCACATGCGAGGACCACACCCTCGCTTCCCTCCGCGAATTTTGTCCCTCCCTCGCCCTGTACTGCATCTCACGCCGCTCATTCTACTGGGAGAAGCAGCGGAAGCAGTTGCCAGAGACCCCTATGGTGCATGTGAGGAAGGCGAGAAGCGGGGTGCCGTGTGCTTGCTTTGCAGATAAACGGCCGAAGAACGTGCGGGAGAAGATGCACTGTGTGAATAGAGAGCTGGTGGATGGGTACAGTGTTGATAAAGATGAGGTTTATATGTTGAAGTACAAAGGGAGCCTGTGGAGCAGAGACCATTGAGAAGGGGACCTTTTAGTCAGCTCTTAGAATATTTTTGTCTGACCAAGAAGGCATGGTAGGCCAGATACGAAGCTGGAACAGCATGTCTGTCATGAGTAAACGGAATTCGCGTGTTGTAGTACCGTATACAGCTGTACAGTAATTCACAGAGCAGACAACTACGCTGATACAGTACCACTCCTACGGATGAAAGCTGAAACATTGTTCATTGGACAAAAGAGAGCTCTAGGGCCTGAATTCCATTACAGCCAATTTGCCCAAACACTTTCTCTTCGTGCATGAGCAATCAAGGTTATATGGAACAATAAACACTACGGCATGTATGAACATTATGAGGCGCCTGTGGTTGGTGGCTTCTTGAAAGGGTTTGCCTCTTGGTCCTTAACCGAAAGAGCGTATTCCACCTGCCGCAGAGGATTGGGGGATGAATGAATACTTTTAGGGTGAAGGTTTGTCTCGGTCTGTTTGAGGCAAAGAATTGCAAGGCTTGGTTCTTGAAAGGGTTTGCCTCTTGGTCCATGACTGCCAACAGAGCGAATTGCACCTGCCACAGGGGATTATGTTGGTGGGATAGATGTTGAGGAAATTGAACCTCGTACAAAGAAGAACGGCAAAGGCAGTGAATGGCGTAGGGTACGAATGGGAGTGGCAACGGAGGGACCCCACGGGTTGAACGTGGTTAAAATGTTTGTTTGTGTGTGTGTGTGTGTGTGTGTGTGTGTGTGTGTGTGTGTGTGTGTGCGTGCGTGCGTGCGTGCGTGCGTGCGTGCGTGCGTGCGTGCGTGCGTTCGTGCGTGCGTGCGTGCGTGTGTGTGTGTGTGTGTTTTTTTTGGTTTTTTTTTTTGGAATACATTTCTTTATTCAGGTCAGGCTGGGTCAGGGTTGTGGTGAGTGCTGTAGGTGGAGGTGGGAGATTCTTCAGAGGGAGTCTCACACAGGCACATCTACAGTCTCGTGCTCTAGAAACGAGGTGACTTTTGAGTCGACTCAAAAGCCGTCTCACACAGGCACATCTACAGTCTCGTGCTCTAGAAACCCGGCGATAGCAGATCAGAATGCGGGGTCAGGGATGTGGTGGTGGGCGCTGTAGACGCGGTGGGCAGATAGGCCCCCAATGGCAGCATAAAAGCTGCTTCAAAGAATTGGGACAAAAGCAACTCAGGTGAACCCACCTGTACCGTCTCCCGTTCGAGGAACCCTGCAATCGCGGAGCGGAACGCGGGGTCGGGGATGTGGTGGGCGCTGTAGGTGGCGGTGGGCAGATAGCCCCGTGGCAGCTTGTGCTCGCCCTGTGCTCCTGCTTCTACCCGCGCCAGACCTGCTTCTATGGCCGCCTCTATTGCCTGAAAGGGTGAGATTGAAGGGCGAGAGGGAGCAGGGGAGGGGGGCAGGGGACAGGAGACAGGAGACAGGAGGGAAGTGGGGAAAAGGGGCAGAGTGGGTAAGGGGAGAGCAGCTTGTGCTCGCCCTGTGCCCCCGCCTCCACCCGTGCCAACCCTGCTTCTATTGCCGCCGCCTCTAGTGCCTGGTAAAGTGAGGGCAGGGGAGGTGGAATGGGGGAATGGGAGTGGGGGAGAGTGGGTAAGGGGGTAGCAAGTCGATTTTTGAGTCGACTCAAAAAGTGGAATGGGGGAACGGAAGTGGGGGAGAGTGGGTAAGGGGGTAGCAGCTTGTACGTCCCCTGCGCCCCGACCTTGCCCCTCCACCAGGTTCAGCGCACCCCCCACCATGTGCATTCTACTCCAGTTTCGACTCACACACCTCGTAGTAGCACGCTTCAAAGTGCAGGAACGGGTAGGGCCCCCCAATTACGTCGTCCAAACACGGCCTCGCCGCCCACCAGGTTCAGTGCACCCCCCACCATGCGCCTTCTACTCCAGTTTCTACTCACGTACCTTGTAGTAACACAAGTACACACCTGGTAGTAGCACGCTTCAAAGTGTAGGAACGGGTAGTGCATGCCAGGCAGCGCCCCCCAGTTGCGCCCAAACACGGCCTCGCCCCCCACCAGGTTCAGCGCGCCCCCCACCATGCGCCCTGTCTCATCCTCCGCCACCACCAGCAGCACCTTCTCTCCCAGTCGCTCCCCCAGCAGGTGAAAGAACTTTCGCGTGAGGTAGGTTTGGCCCCACCTGTTGGCAGGAGGAAAGGAGAAGAATGGAATTAGCCCCCATCATCTCTAACCCCACCACGCGCCCTGTGCCATCCTCCGACACCACCACCACCAGCAGCACCTGCTCGCCTAGCCGCTCCCCCAGCAGATGAAAGAACTCGCGCGTGAGGTACGTCTGCCCCCACCTGGTTGGGGTAGGGGGGACAATGGGAAGGGAATGGTATAAGCCCCCACCATGCGCCCTGTGCCATCCTCCGCCACCACCAGCAGCACCTTCTCTCCCAGCCGCTCTCCCAGCAGGTGGAAGAACTCGCGCGTGAGGTACGTCTGCCCCGCGTGGTGCGGATGGGGAAAGGGAAGCAATGGGAATGGGAGGAGCCCCCTCTTGTTCTCTCGCTGCCACCACCAGCAGCACCTGCTCACCCAGCGTCCTCCCCAGCAGATGGAAGAACTCGCGCGTGAGGTACGTCTGCCCCCACCTGTTGAGAGAATAAAAGAAAAGGTGGATGGTGGAAATGGAGACAATCGAGGGAGGCGGATTCGGGGAGAATGAGGAGGCCTGTACGCCTCGGTCTTTCCTGTACGCCCAGATGACTTTTGAGTCGACTCAAAAGTCACCTCGAAGAATGAGGAGACCTGTATGCCTCGTTCTTCCCTGTACGCCCATCCAGTCAATCCCTCGTTCCACTCCTTGGACACATTTGAGGCACCTAAACTCTACGTCCGCCTTCAGGCAGAGCTGCCTACAGGTTTTTTTCTTGGTTCTTGGTCTTGGGTTGATCAACTCACTCGCTCGACTCGACTCAACCTGCCTGAGAACACTCACTTTCGGTTGGTGGTGTTGCAGTAGAATTGGAAGAAGCTGTTCCAGTGGTGTGCCTGCAAAGATGTAGACAGAAGGAGAGTGGGGAGGTGGGGAGGAGATGAGTGAGGGGAGTGAAGGGTGAAGATTGCTATGGGAGGACTTTTGAGGCGCCCTCAGCAGTTGGGGGAGGAGGAGATGAGTGAGGAGAGTGAGAGACGGGGTGAAGGTTGCTATGGGTGGGAGGAGCCAATGGTGTGCCCGCAAGATTATTCACAGAAGGAGAGTTGGGGGGAGGGGGGGTGAGGAGGAGATGAGTGAGGAGAGTGAGAGACGGGGGTGAAGGTTGCTATGGGTGGGAGGAGCCAATGGTGTGCCCGCAAGAAATAAGATAAAGCGAGAGAACATGAGTAGGGGGGGAGGTGAAGGGGGGTGAGGGAGGAGAGGGGGGTCGAGGGAGGTGAGGGAAGGAGCAGAGAGAAGGAACAAAAGGCAAGAGGAAAAGTGGATGAGAGGAGGAAAAGAGGCGGGTGTTAAGTGTCTCTGTGTCTCTGCTGTAGTTAACATATATTTGGAATTTGAAATTCTCCTACCACCACGATGTCATCTCTCTCCTCACCATGACGTCATCTTGCCTCACCTTGATGTCATCTCCCCTCAGCCGCAGCAACTTCAAGCCTTGCGCTGCTACCTGGTGTGAGAACGGGGAGAGGGGGGTCACAGCCTCACAAGGATAAGCGGAGTGCATGCATCAATACTATACATGAATAAGCGGAGAGTGGTGCTAGTTTCCATTGCGGAATTGAACCGAGAAGAAACCCGTAGCGACAAAATGGAAATCGGTGAGATGATGTCAGCTGAATGCTTTGAAATGAGATGATGTCAGCTGAATGCTTTGCTTTGCTTTGACGCGATGCAAGAAGGAGGTGCGATGTGCATGTAATTTCAAGCAGTCAAAGCAGCAGCACGGAGCGGCAGTCAAGAACGGAACAGCACCTTCTTCCGCTCCTGCCGAATGGTCTTGCGCTTGGACTGCTTCAGATCCATGAGGAAATCGTTGAAGCTGGTGTTGGATGCGGTGCAGATGGGTGGATTCATGGAGGCATGAAAAAAAAGGGGGGGAAGAGGGTTGGAATGAAGATGGAGGGAGGAGCGCAGGGCAGGGGCAGGGGTGAGGAGAGGGGTGTGTGTTTGGACCCACTCCAAGCCCACATTGCAATTTGACTGCTTCATTAGAAACACACTTTTTTCTTTTTCTTTTAGCAGACGTGTGCAAAGAGGAAAGGCGCAAGGGCGCAAGAATGTCAGGATGCTTCTCGAAATCACTGCCTAAGGACTCATGCCATGCAAGGGAGGTTTGGCATCCCCAACGCCTTCACTCTCATCCGCCACCCGCCTGCCATAGGCCCCCAAATCACCCGCCTGCCATAGGCCCCCAAATCACCCGCCTGCCATAGGCCCCCAAATCACCCGCCTGCCATAGGCCCCCAAATCACCCGCCTGCCATAGGCCCCCAAATCACCCGCCTGCCATAGGCCCCCAAATCACCCGCCTGCCATAGGCCCCCAAATCACCCGCCTGCCATAGGCCCCCAAATCACCCGCCTGCCATAGGCCCCCAAATCACCCGCCTGCCATAGGCCCCCAAATCACCCGCCTGCCATAGGCCCCCAAATCACCCGCCTGCCATAGGCCCCCAAATCACCCGCCTGCCATAGGCCCCCAAATCACCCGCCTGCCATAGGCCCCCAAATCACCCGCCTGCCATAGGCCCCCAAATCACCCGCCTGCCATAGGCCCCCAAATCACCCGCCTGCCATAGGCCCCCAAATCACCCGCCTGCCATAGGCCCCCAAATCACCCGCCTGCCATAGGCCCCCAAATCACCCGCCTGCCATAGGCCCCCAAATCACCCGCCTGCCATAGGCCCCCAAATCACCCGCCTGCCATAGGCCCCCAAATCACCCGCCTGCCATAGGCCCCCAAATCACCCGCCTGCCATAGGCCCCCAAATCACCCGCCTGCCATAGGCCCCCAAATCACCCGCCTGCCATAGGCCCCCAAATCACACGCCTGCCATAGGCCCCCAAATCACCCGCCTGCCATAGGCCCCCAAATCACCCGCCTGCCATAGGCCCCCAAATCACCCGCCTGCCATAGGCCCCCAAATCACCCGCCTGCCATAGGCCCCCAAATCACCCGCCTGCCATAGGCCCCCAAATCACCCGCCTGCCATAGGCCCCCAAATCACCCGCCTGCCATAGGCCCCCAAATCACCCGCCTGCCATAGGCCCCCAAATCACCCGCCTGCCATAGGCCCCCAAATCACCCGCCTGCCATAGGCCCCCAAATCACCCGCCTGCCATAGGCCCCCAAATCACCCGCCTGCCATAGGCCCCCAAATCACCCGCCTGCCATAGGCCCCCAAATCACCCGCCTGCCATAGGCCCCCAAATCACCCGCCTGCCATAGGCCCCCAAATCACCCGCCTGCCATAGGCCCCCAAATCACCCGCCTGCCATAGGCCCCCAAATCACCCGCCTGCCATAGGCCCCCAAATCACCCGCCTGCCATAGGCCCCCAAATCACCCGCCTGCCATAGGCCCCCAAATCACCCGCCTGCCATAGGCCCCCAAATCACCCGCCTGCCATAGGCCCCCAAATCACCCGCCTGCCATAGGCCCCCAAATCACCCGCCTGCCATAGGCCCCCAAACCACCCGCCTGCCATAGGCCCCCAAATCACACGCCTGCCATAGGCCCCCAAATCACCCGCCTGCCATAGGCCCCCAAATCACCCGCCTGCCATAGGCCCCCAAATCACCCGCCTGCCATAGGCCCCCAAATCACCCGCCTGCCATAGGCCCCCAAATCACCCGCCTGCCATAGGCCCCCAAATCACCCGCCTGCCATAGGCCCCCAAATCACACGCCTGCCATAGGCCCCCAAATCACCCGCCTGCCATAGGCCCCCAAATCACCCGCCTGCCATAGGCCCCCAAATCACACGCCTGCCATAGGCCCCCAAATCACCCGCCTGCCATAGGCCCCCAAATCACCCGCCTGCCATAGGCCCCCAAACCACCCGCCTGCCATAGGCCCCCAAATCACCCGCCTGCCATAGGCCCCCAAATCACCCGCCTGCCATAGGCCCCCAAATCACACGCCTGCCATAGGCCCCCAAATCACCCGCCTGCCATAGGCCCCCAAATCACCCGCCTGCCATAGGCCCCCAAATCACCCGCCTGCCATAGGCCCCCAAATCACCCGCCTGCCATAGGCCCCCAAATCACCCGCCTGCCATAGGCCCCCAAATCACCCGCCTGCCATAGGCCCCCAAATCACCCGCCTGCCATAGGCCCCCAAATCACCCGCCTGCCATAGGCCCCCAAATCACCCGCCTGCCATAGGCCCCCAAATCACCCGCCTGCCATAGGCCCCCAAATCACCCGCCTGCCATAGGCCCCCAAATCACCCGCCTGCCATAGGCCCCCAAATCACCCGCCTGCCATAGGCCCCCAAATCACCCGCCTGCCATAGGCCCCCAAATCACCCGCCTGCCATAGGCCCCCAAATCACCCGCCTGCCATAGGCCCCCAAATCACACGCCTGCCATAGGCCCCCAAATCACCCGCCTGCCATAGGCTCCCAAATCACCCGCCTGCCATAGGCCCCCAAATCACCCGCCTGCCATAGGCCCCCAAATCACCCGCCTGCCATAGGCCCCCAAATCACCCGCCTGCCATAGGCCCCCAAATCACCCGCCTGCCATAGGCCCCCAAATCACCCGCCTGCCATAGGCCCCCAAATCACCCGCCTGCCATAGGCCCCCAAATCACCCGCCTGCCATAGGCCCCCAAATCACCCGCCTGCCATAGGCCCCCAAATCACCCGCCTGCCATAGGCCCCCAAATCACCCGCCTGCCATAGGCCCCCAAATCACACGCCTGCCATAGGCCCCCAAATCACCCGCCTGCCATAGGCCCCCAAATCACCCGCCTGCCATAGGCCCCCAAATCACACGCCTGCCATAGGCCCCCAAATCACCCGCCTGCCATAGGCCCCCAAATCACCCGCCTGCCATAGGCCCCCAAATCACCCGCCTGCCATAGGCCCCCAAATCACCCGCCTGCCATAGGCCCCCAAATCACCCGCCTGCCATAGGCCCCCAAATCACCCGCCTGCCATAGGCCCCCAAATCACCCGCCTGCCATAGGCCCCCAAATCACCCGCCTGCCATAGGCCCCCAAATCACCCGCCTGCCATAGGCCCCCAAATCACCCGCCTGCCATAGGCCCCCAAATCACCCGCCTGCCATAGGCCCCCAAATCACCCGCCTGCCATAGGCCCCCAAATCACCCGCCTGCCATAGGCCCCCAAATCACCCGCCTGCCATAGGCCCCCAAATCACCCGCCTGCCATAGGCCCCCAAATCACCCGCCTGCCATAGGCCCCCAAATCACCCGCCTGCCATAGGCCCCCAAATCACCCGCCTGCCATAGGCCCCCAAATCACCCGCCTGCCATAGGCCCCCAAATCACCCGCCTGCCATAGGCCCCCAAATCACCCGCCTGCCATAGGCCCCCAAATCACCCGCCTGCCATAGGCCCCCAAATCACCCGCCTGCCATAGGCCCCCTAATCACCCGCCTGCCATAGGCCCCCAAATCACCCGCCTGCCATAGGCCCCCAAATCACCCGCCTGCCAATAGGCCCCCAAATCACCCGCCTGCCATAGGCCCCCAAATCACCCGCCTGCCATAGGCCCCCAAATCACCCGCCTGCCATAGGCCCCCAAATCACCCGCCTGCCATAGGCCCCCAAATCACCCGCCTGCCATAGGCCCCCAAATCACCCGCCTGCCATAGGCCCCCAAATCACCCGCCTGCCATAGGCCCCCAAATCACCCGCCTGCCATAGGCCCCCAAATCACCCGCCTGCCATAGGCCCCCAAATCACCCGCCTGCCATAGGCCCCCAAATCACCCGCCTGCCATAGGCCCCCAAATCACCCGCCTGCCATAGGCCCCCAAATCACCCGCCTGCCATAGGCCCCCAAATCACCCGCCTGCCATAGGCCCCCAAATCACCCGCCTGCCATAGGCCCCCAAATCACCCGCCTGCCATAGGCCCCCAAATCACCCGCCTGCCATAGGCCCCCAAATCACCCGCCTGCCATAGGCCCCCAAATCACCCGCCTGCCATAGGCCCCCAAATCACCCGCCTGCCATAGGCCCCCAAATCACCCGCCTGCCATAGGCCCCCAAATCACCCGCCTGCCATAGGCCCCCAAATCACCCGCCTGCCATAGGCCCCCAAATCACCCGCCTGCCATAGGCCCCCAAATCACCCGCCTGCCATAGGCCCCCAAATCACCCGCCTGCCATAGGCCCCCAAATCACCCGCCTGCCATAGGCCCCCAAATCACCCGCCTGCCATAGGCCCCCAAATCACCCGCCTGCCATAGGCCCCCAAATCACCCGCCTGCCATAGGCCCCCAAATCACCCGCCTGCCATAGGCCCCCAAATCACCCGCCTGCCATAGGCCCCCAAATCACCCGCCTGCCATAGGCCCCCAAATCACCCGCCTGCCATAGGCCCCCAAATCACCCGCCTGCCATAGGCCCCCAAATCACCCGCCTGCCATAGGCCCCCAAATCACCCGCCTGCCATAGGCCCCCAAATCACCCGCCTGCCATAGGCCCCCAAATCACCCGCCTGCCATAGGCCCCCAAATCACCCGCCTGCCATAGGCCCCCAAATCACCCGCCTGCCATAGGCCCCCAAATCACCCGCCTGCCATAGGCCCCCAAATCACCCGCCTGCCATAGGCCCCCAAATCACCCGCCTGCCATAGGCCCCCAAATCACCCGCCTGCCATAGGCCCCCAAATCACCCGCCTGCCATAGGCCCCCAAATCACCCGCCTGCCATAGGCCCCCAAATCACACGCCTGCCATAGGCCCCCAAATCACCCGCCTGCCATAGGCCCCCAAATCACCCGCCTGCCATAGGCCCCCAAATCACCCGCCTGCCATAGGCCCCCAAATCACCCGCCTGCCATAGGCCCCCAAATCACCCGCCTGCCATAGGCCCCCAAATCACCCGCCTGCCATAGGCCCCCAAATCACCCGCCTGCCATAGGCCCCCAAATCACCCGCCTGCCATAGGCCCCCAAATCACCCGCCTGCCATAGGCCCCCAAATCACCCGCCTGCCATAGGCCCCCAAATCACCCGCCTGCCATAGGCCCCCAAATCACCCGCCTGCCATAGGCCCCCAAATCACCCGCCTGCCATAGGCCCCCAAATCACCCGCCTGCCATAGGCCCCCAAATCACCCGCCTGCCATAGGCCCCCAAATCACCCGCCTGCCATAGGCCCCCAAACCACCCGCCTGCCATAGGCCCCCAAATCACCCGCCTGCCATAGGCCCCCAAATCACACGCCTGCCATAGGCCCCCAAATCACCCGCCTGCCATAGGCCCCCAAATCACCCGCCTGCCATAGGCCCCCAAATCACCCGCCTGCCATAGGCCCCCAAATCACCCGCCTGCCATAGGCCCCCAAATCACCCGCCTGCCATAGGCCCCCAAATCACCCGCCTGCCATAGGCCCCCAAATCACCCGCCTGCCATAGGCCCCCAAATCACCCGCCTGCCATAGGCCCCCAAATCACCCGCCTGCCATAGGCCCCCAAATCACCCGCCTGCCATAGGCCCCCAAATCACCCGCCTGCCATAGGCCCCCAAATCACCCGCCTGCCATAGGCCCCCAAATCACCCGCCTGCCATAGGGCCCCAAATCACCCGCCTGCCATAAGCCCCCAAATCACCCACCTGCCATAGGCCCCCAAATCACCCACCTGCCATAGGCCCCCAAATCACTTGCCTGCCATTGCCGCGGTTGCTCCAGTGGTACTGCATGCCCATGTGCTGCAGGGAGGCCAGCATAGGGAGAAAGGTGCCGCCCCAACACACTCGCCTGCCATCACCCCCCATCATCCCCGCCCACCTGCCATAGCCGCGGTTGCTCCAGTGGTACTGCATGCCCATGCGCTGCAGAAAGCCATGGCGCGCCATGACCTGCCAGTCGTCCTTGCATGGGAACGTCACATGCACCGATGACACCCCGTACTGCGTGGTGTGGGAGGGGCGGGGAGTGGAACGGTGGGGGGAGGGAGAGGGTCGAAACAAGCACCAAATGACCATGGGGGATGCCATACAGTGCCCCACTGGGCGGGCCAGGACCTGCCAGTCGTCCTTGCATGGGAATGTCACATGCACCGATGACACCCCATAGTGCCCAGTGTGGGGTTGGGGAGTAGGGAAGATGCAGGGAGTTGACAAGAACACGCGAACGGCCATGTCATGCCATTCCATGCCATGCCATGCCATGCCATTCCATGTCATGCCATTCCATGCCATGCCATGCCATGCCATGCCAAGCCAAGCCATGCCATGCCATGCCATACCATACCATGCCATGCCGTGCTGCGCCATGCCATACCCCTTCGCCCCATCCGGAACCCTACTTGCTCATTGTCACGGCACAGTCCCAACAGCACAGCACCTTAAGTCAACCCCGCATCCCCTTATCCCACAACCCCAATCTCCCCCTCCACCCCCTCCCTCCCCCCGCTCCCCACTCAACTCATCTGCCACTCGCTTCATAGTCTGGCACAGCCCTGACAGCAACCTAAGCCAACCGGGTACACCTCTTTCCGGCTCTCCAGTTTCCCTCTACGCTCCCCGCTTCCCCTTCCCCCCCTCACCTTATCCGCCACTTGCTTCATGGCCTGGCACAGCCCCGACAGCAGTCAACCATGCGCCCTCATAACCCCACCCCTTCGCCCCCACTCCCCCCTTCCCCTCTCCATCCCTCACCTCGTCCGCCACTTGCTTCATGGCCTGGCACAGCCCCGACAGCACAGCCTCGCGGTCAGGTCCGTCCCGAACCAGCAGGCGAGGTCCGGTGGCGGGGGTGAAGGGCACGCAGGACTGCAGCTTCGGGTAGTACGAGCCTCCCGCCCGCATGAACGCATTCGCCCAGGAGTGATCGAACACATACTCTCCATAGGAGTGCCTGTGGGGACGCAGAGGAGAGGGAAGGAGGAGATGAAGGCTCCTATTATCGTCCACTGTATGAAGCCTTTTGAGGCGCCTCAAAAGTCCATTGTAAGAAGCCACGCAGCCTCGAGTAGTACGAGCCTCCCGCCCGCATGAACGCATTGGCCCACGAATGATCAGAAACATACTCTCCATAGGAGTGGCTGTGGGGAAGAGGGGAAGAAGAGGGATGAGGGAACGGAAAGGTGTCTATCTATTCAACAGAATCCAGACGCGTGTGACACAAACGGATTGTGCTTCTCCGCTCCGCTCCTCCCCTCACCACCACAAGCTGCTGGCGCTGCTGTGGTAACCACCTCACCCTTACTCCCTCCCCCCCGCACCAATCCCGAACGATTTAAGCCACACAACCTTACCCTTACATGAATAAACGCACACGTACCCCTTTAAATAGAGGGGCAGCACTCCGACTACCCTCTCCTCATCGTCTCTTGCCACGAGGTGCTGTGGTAACCACCCCTCCTCGCGGCACGCGCTTCTGCTCTCCTCCAGACACTGCAGGAACGCGTGTGACACAAACGGGTTGTGCTTCTCCGCGCCGCCCGCCGCGTCCAGCGCACAGGCATCCCAGTCAGCAGCAGGGATGGAGGCGATGGAGGAGGAAACTGTGACTGTAAGGGCCGTTGCTGTAACGGGGGGTTCCTGTGCACGTGGCAACGGGGACAGAAAGTGAAGGGCGGATGGAGTGGATGAGACAAATGGGGTTCAACATCAGCAGTCAACAGTCAACAGTCAACACTCGACAGTCAACATTCAACACTCCACAAGCGCCCAGGCGTCACAGTCAGCCACAGGTATGGAGGGGATGGAGGAGGACACTGTGACTGTAAGAAGTGTTGCTATAGCGGGGGCAGGGGGAAGGGGGGAGGGGGTGGTCCCGCACACGCGACAGCGGGATTAAAGAAAGAGAAGAGAAGGGTGGAGAGAGTCAAGAGACGTCTATAAACACATGCATCTCCACGCTCAGATGTTGATGCGTGACAAAATTGATGCACGCACTCCACGCATCAATTCTGAGACGAAAATGCACAAATTTTCACATCTGCTTCGGGGTCTCATTGCAATTCCCACTCACCCCTGCCCGCAGCCCGCTTCTCTCCGTCTCCTCCGCTGCCGCCGACCCTGCGCCCCCGACCAATGCGCTCCTAATGCGCTGCACCTTGTCGCCCTGTTGCTGCTGCTTCTCCTGCTCCTGCTGCCAGGGCCAAAGCGCGGCGGATACGGGGAAGTGACGAGAGTGGACTTGACAGCGCCTGTGATTAGAACGAAGGTGGCTGTAACCAGACTGTGTTTTTGCGACGTAATTATGGCCGCCGGCGGGAACGCCGAAAAGCGGCACCGGCAGCAGAGACGAATGCGCTGCTGCTTGGATTGCCTGGGTCGATCTTTGCTGGGCGTGAATCGACACGTGGCGTCGTGGTTGATGCTCGCGAAACGCCTCGGTAACTTCGCCAATGGCGCGGTTACTGTGTATCCGCGCGCGCGAATCAGCGCATAGCGGTTTAAGGGCCTGATGGGAAGCGACGAGAGTCGCGGAACTCATGGCGAGAGGTGACTCGACGAGTAAGTAACCCCGAAATTCAGGAACTCCGAGAATTCACCCCTTTTCGTATTCTAGCTGCGACACCGAAGAGATTAACTTCAACAGTTCGAAATTCGGGTAAGAGAATCGCCTCAAGATGTCGCAGAACCCATGCTGGAATCGGATCGGCGAGTTGGACGTTCTCAGCCGCGCACGAGGGGAGCAGCGTCGAGAAATGTCGAAGCTGGGAAAGGGTAGCTTCTTTTCCGAGAGTAATATGGAATAAAGTGCAGCGGAGAAAGACGCAAGCTGTCTTGCACCCCGAATACTACTAAATTCAGGTCTGAGAAATTGACGCCAGCTTCGACGTATCCAAACAAAATGAGAGTGAGATGAGTATCATGTGGGAGTCTCCAGCAACAAATGAGGGAGCAAAGCAAAATGTGCTTCCTCTGGGAGTGAGACCAACGCCCGAGGCTTGAAAGCTGGAGGATGAGGAAGGATACTGGGTGGCATCAAACTTTTGAGTAAGGCGGATTCCCATTAGCCATTTCTATTTGTTTTACGAGAATGTGTCATGATCACTCTCACTGTACAGTTTCCTCGATGCGTGTAAACATGACACAGGAAGCGAAATCTGGAAAGTGTTTTTGTTCGGAATGGTGGTCAAATATCGAGAATTCGGGTCACTACCGAGTACATAAGGGCGAAGCTAACCTCTCTGCGAACTCTCTGTTACTGGTCCATACAGCTCAAAATCAGGGGTTCCTGATTCACCATGTCAGCATAACGCCACGTGACTTCAAATGATTGGATCCGAAAGTTAATACACACTTGACGAAGTCAACCTTGCGAGGCGTATTCAGCAGTACTGCATGTACCACCTCGTTTCGCCTGTGACTTCATGATGCTCACTTGTAGATACAAGTATGTCAGAAGGATCCTAGAACTTACTGTTTATTTCGATTGTTGCACCTACCCGCCATATAACAAATTTCGCTGATTGCAAAAACACATCATCATATATCCAAGACCTGAATAGATGCTAATTTGAAATAGGAAAGTTGAGACATGATTGTAGAAATATAGGAAATTACGTTTTGCTCATTGACTGGGAAATTGCATTATTTAAATAATCAATAATATTGAGAGCTAGGTAAGGTTACTGATTCTTATTTTTTTTCCTCCTATTTTTCAATTTTCATCCTACTCTATAGGTTGTCTTACTGTTTGGCTAAGCATCTCAAAAAAAAAATGTAGCTCGTATAATTCATTGATGCTTGACCCCCGCATCTCACTGCAGTTCATTCCGTTCTCGGGCGTAGAGAACTTTGGTATATTTTTTTCAGGGTGATGTTCACGAGCTGGCTGTTGCCCTCGGGAAGATTACAGCACGTTTGTGTACTGCGAAGGTGCGCTGGCCCTTAGTTAAAAGAACTTTGATTTCCAGCTTCAAAGCGTCATTCATGATCCCACACCCCTAGCCAGCCTTCCACCCGGTAGCCGAGACACAAATACAGTGCCACGAGAAAATTCAATGGGCAGTCTGGGTGGAACCGAAATGCCCATTGCTGGTCATCAAACACGTCACATTTGTATTGAACGCAATCAATTTTGGTTAGCAGCCGTTTATAAATAAAAAAAGAACATGTCAAATCGTTTTGTACCGTATAGAAAACTTGTCTAGCGTACCACACCATCTAACATCCACTGCGTAGTCAATCGATTCATAAAAACGAATTGTGTATCGGAACGCGTTTCCCTGAACATCCCGATGGTGATTCGCCGGTGGTTGCGATTCGGCGATGGTGGCTGACCTCGCTGAGCATGAGCCACTTCAGCCCATTCACACCCACCGCAATCCGCCCTTTCACACCATACAAATACCCACTCATATTTCCTTCCAATACCAGCCTGCACATCGTTGCTTCTCTTTCACTCCCTTCCAAACTCCCTTCCACATCTCGTCCAAGTCTCTCTGCATTTTCTTTCCTAGCTCGTAGTCATGGCGCGTCTGCTTACGGCCCTCGTTCTTCTGCTTGCCGTGACCGTCACTCTCGCGTCACTCGCTTCCACGGCTGCTGCTCGATTTGTTCGGATTCTTGGCGACGGGATGATTACCGATGGTAAGTAGCAAGTCTAGATTATGACTGCCGATGATTATCCCGTGAGACGCACGTGCGATGGTGCGCGCATCTCCTTGCGATAATAACGCGCATCTGGAAAGTTTGGCTCCATGCGATAGATCCGCCAGTCACTCTCTCCCGCCCATTACCCCCCTCTACCTTTCTCCCTCTCCCCTCGTCCCCCGCGCGAACGTGTCGGCATGGCGTGGCCGCAGGTACCTCGGGAGCGATAGACACCGCCGGCGGCGTCATCACGGCGGAGGGCGCGCCGAGCGGTGCTCGGTCCAGGGATGACGAGCAGAGCCGCCGCAAACTCGGGTGGTTTAAAAATGCTGTGATGTGGGCCAATGACAAATTGTTCGTCACTAATAACAATGATAAAGGCAAGCCCTCACAAGAACTCGATTTTTTTTGTTTTTTTTTTTTTCTGCCGTTTCTGTTGATTCCGTGCTCACCGTAAGGCTGTGCGCCCTTTCCAGAAATCTCAAACTCCTGCCTCCATTCATGCCGCTTCTCGGTGACCCATACCCTGAAGTGGGAAGATGACTACTGCCTCCATTGATGCCGTGGCTGTCCTTGCTAAACAGTCTCTCCCTGCTGTCGCCCTTTTGCAGGTGCTGCACCGGCGGTAGACTGCTCTGTCAAATACGTTTGCCTTGGTGGGGACCCCGCATGTACGAATAAGAAACTTGCGTGCGGGCAGTAAGCTCGTGAGTGGGCGATACTGCGGGGTGTGGCGCGGTATGCTGCATACAAGCCCATCATGAAACAATGTGCAAGGGAATTGGGCCATGCTAGCTGTTCCTTTGGAGCAAGCAAGCTTCACACTGTGCTTTGGTTTCCACCCGGCCTTACTCACCCCACCCCCGTGTGTTCAAGTGCTGTAGTCATCATGTCGGCATGTGCGCCGCATGGAAAGGCCATGATAGCTGTCCCTTTGCAGCGCCGCAGAGTCTATATAGCCTATGATGTGGGGCCCACATGCCCCTGTGTGCATGTGCTGACTGACTGGTACCACCTCCCTACCTTGTAATTTTGTCTGCAGGTCTAGCAGCCGCTAAGCGACACTCCAAACAGCACGGGCGGGGGGACTGCGGAGGCTAGAAGCGGGTAGTAGTGGCGGGGAAAGACCAGGGGGCTTCTGATTGCTGCAATGGATGTTAGCCTTGAGGTCAACTGGTTGTGTACTCTATGTGGGTGGTTGTGGTTATGGTGTATCCTTGTGTAGGTGGGTGTTTGAGCGCCTGGATGTCAATCAGTAACGCAGTGTATCTGATTGTAACAGTGTATTTCAAGTCTAGTTCACCTATCGTATGGAGCGCGCTTCACCCCTGCACGAGTCGCGCCCCACGTCCCCTGCCCTTAGTGGCCCCTTAGCCGATCCCTCGCGGCCCCTCTCACGGCCCCTCGCGGCCCCTTAGCTGCTCCCTCGCGGCCCCACTCACGGCCCCTCGCGGCCCCTCTATCCCGGCCCCTCGCGGCCCCTTAGCCGCTCCCTCGCGGCCCCTCTCACGGCCCCTCGCGGCCCCTCTCACGGCCCCTCCGCGGCCGTTCGCGGCCCCTCGCGGCCCCTCTCCCGGCCCCTCGCGGCCCCTCTCACGGTCCCTCGCGGCCCCTCCGCGGCCGTTCGCGGCCCCTCGCGGCCCCTCTCGCGGCCCCTCCGCGGCCGTTTGCGGCCCCTCACGGCCCCTCTCCCGGCCCCTCGCGGCCCCTCTCACGGCCCCTCGCGGCCCTGTCGCGGCCCCTCGCGGCCCTGTCGCGGCCCCTCGCGGCCCCTCGTGGCTCGTCGCGGCTCGTCGCGGCCCCTCCGCGGCCCCTCTCCAGGCCCCGTCGCGGCTCCCTCGCGGCCCCGTTGCGGCTCCCTCGTCGCCCCTGCCCGCCGCGGCGCCCTGCCCTAACCCGCGCCCTGGAGCACCCGCCACTGCAGCAGCCGCCCCTGGAGCAGCCGCCACTGCAGCAGCCGCCCCTGGAGCAGCCGCCACTGCAGCAGCCGCCCCTGGAGCGGCCGCCCCTGCAGCAGCCGCCCCTGGAACAGCCGCCACTGCAGCAGCCGCCCCTGGAGCAGCCGCCACTGCAGCAGCCGCCCCTGGAGCAGCCGTCCCTGCAGCACCCGCCCCTGGAGCAGCCGCCACTACAGCAGCCGCCCCTGGAGCAGCCGCCCCTGCAGCAGCCGCCCCTGGAACAGCCGCCACTGCAGCAGCCGCCCCTGGAGCAGCCGCCACTGCAGCAGCCGCCCCTGGAGCAGCCGTCCCTGCAGCAGCCGCCCCTGGAGCAGCCGCCACTGCAGCAGCCGCCCCTGGAGCAGCCGCCCCTGCAGCAGCCGCCCCTGGAGCAGCCGCCCCTGCAGCAGCCGCCCCTGGAGCAGCCGCCACTGCAGCAGCCGCCCCTGGAGCAGCCGCCCCTGCGACAGCCGCCCCTGGAGCAGCCGCCCCTGCAGCAGCCGCCCCTGCAGCAGCCGCCCCTGCAGCAGCCGCGGAGCCCTCGCCCTGCAGTGGTAGCGGCCTCGCCGTTGCCGCCGTCGTACGCCTGCCCTTCTCGCCACTGGTGAGCACTGACCTGCCCATACTGCTGTTACTGCTGCTCTTGCTGCTACTGCTCTTTCTACTGCTACTGCTGCTCCTGGCGTGGCCAAATGCAGCTCCAGCGCCGTCCGCGTGAGTCCCTCGCCCCCCACCAGCTTCGTGAGTGGTACGCTAGTTGGGGTTGTAGGGGTGGCCGCGCTGCGACTACTGCTACTGCTTCTACTACTGCTACTGCTGCTACTGCGGCTACCACTGCTCCTCCTGCTCCTGGCGGTGGCCAGATGCAGCTCCAGCGACGTCCGCGTGAGTCCCTCACGCCCCAGCAGCTTCGTGAGTGGTACGCTACTTGGGGTTGTCGGGGTGGCCGTAGTGG